GACGACCCTGCAGACAGGCGGCGATGATGCTACTGCTGCCTCCTGCTGCCTCCTGCTGCCTCCTGCTGCTGCTGCTGTGTGATCCCAATTGTTGTTGTTTGACTTGCATCCCACTGGGATTTTTGCACAGAGCGTCGGTGGACGATGCTTTTTCTGCAATGTTTTGCTGATTTTTCCTGGATTTTTCTGTTTGCGCGCAGTCACTTTAAGATGTTTCTTGTTCATGTGTTTGCAGTTGCGCCCGATTCAAGAGCCGAATGGCTCACAGGGCTCTACCTAATAAATTAAACTGAAATGAAACTGAAAACCGAATAACTCATCAGCATCGGGATGTGGTTTTGGTCTTTAGCAGTTCGCAAAGCTGTCAACCCACACGGCTTAGCCCGTCATGGTGCATTGCGGCGTACAGCCGGTAGAATAATAATGTGTCTATTTGTTTGTGTTTCTCTCCTTGTGATGGGACTTTGTGGGAGGAACGTTGAAGTTTAACAGGGCACGGGGTGACCGATAATGTCTGAATTGGTCTGTAAGAAGGTCGGCGTTGATGAGGGGTTGACAGGGATGCAGTTCCACTGTGTGTGTGGGTTTAGCTGTGGGAGAGATTCGAGAGAAGGCGGAGAGCAGGAGGGGACCGTGCAGACCCCAACTCGGACAGTCCGGCACTCCAAACCCTGGCTGTCGTTACCACTACGTATCACTCCCCTCCACACCATCACACCATCACTCACCACCACACCATCACTCAACACCATCACTCCCCACTACACCATCACTCCCCTCCACACCATCACTCACCACCATCACTCCCCTCCACACCATCACTCCCCTCCACACCATCACTCCCCTTCACACCATCACTCCACACCATCACTCCCCTCGACACCATCACACCACACCATCACCCCACTCCACACCATCACTCCCCTCCCACTCCCCTCCACACCATCACTCCACACCATCACTCCCCTCCGCACCATCACTCTACACCATCACTCCACACCATCACTCCCCTCCACACCATCACTCCACACCATCACTCCCCTCCGCACCATCACTCTACACCATCACTCCACACCATCACTCCCCTCCACACCATCACTCCACACCATCACTCCACACCATCACTCCACACCATCACTCCACACCATCACTCACCACCATCACTCCACAACACACCATCACTCTCCTCCACACCATCACTCCACACCATCACTCCACACCATCACTCCACAACACACCATCACTCCCCTCCACACCATCACTCCACCCCATCACTCCACACCATCACTGCCCTCTGCGCTAGGAGCGGAGTGGCTGTGGCTGCGCTGCCCTCTGCCGCCCAGAGGAGGCGATGCGCGACGCGTGGCGGTGTCGTGGCGGGTGGCGCGATGCATCGGCGGAGTCATCTCAGTCAGTGAACCCCACGGCACCTGGGGCTCTCCGCTCCGTGACCTCCTGCCAGAGGGCCTTCGACACTTCACGTGGCCTTCCAAGTGCACCGAGCATGGGCACACGCGCCATGGTGATGTAGCCCCTGCCACTTGTAACTTCGCCAACCCGCCAATACTGGACGTCTCTAAAATAAGTAATACTTTAAAAAAAAATTTAAACACGCTTTAATGAAATGTACCCTACTAGTAATGGAAGAACTCCACGACTTCAGGAAGTGGCCCCGAAGCTTGCCATAACATAAGGGACCGTGGTGATTTACAGCCAACAGTCAGTTGAACGTGGACAATTAGACCCATGCAGAAACATAAAATATAAAAAAGACTGTTAAAAAATATTTTTTTTAATGATAGAATATAGTATTGTCATCAGTATGACATAAGTATACCAAGTTTGCAGTCGATACCACATTAGGAAGTGGGTTAAAATTGAGTTCCAAGATTTGAGGATACGACAGACAGAGTGAGTGAATAAAAGAGCTTCATAGCTCATCGGATTCCTCTCCAAGTCACAAAATTCTGATTCTGAACGGCGGTTGTGGTTTGTTGTTGTCGGCCTGTGCGTAGGAGCGCAGTGCCCGCTGGTGTCGCAGACCCGCAGTGACATCGACAGGAATCGTGCCGTGCGCTCACTCGGCTTTGGATTTTATTGTATTTTAGTTTCTTTATGGCGCGAGTAAAAAAAACCTATTGGGCAATAAGTGCTCGTGTTGGATGGAGACCTGGTTAAGCCATAGAGCCAGGGCCCGATTTTGATATTGCTGGGGCCCTAAAGCTTCGTCAAGCTTAAGAGGGCCCCCCTCACCCAAAGAGGAATGCCTGTACGGAATATTTTTGTCATTTTAACGCATAGTCGGCTTTCGCGATCAATATCATCCATAATAGAGGTGTTTGGGTTAGATCGCGTGAATATAAATGAGTCGTTATACCAGCCACCACCCGGCACAGCCAATTGGTAAGGTTTGTTACCTAAACAAAACATGCCAATTCGTTCCTAGTGTAGTGTCCTCCTTCCTCGAGGCATGTGTGTGGTGTGCGGTGCACACACACACAGAGACGAGGTAGTTGCAGGAGGCACCGTCTATCTCTTTATGATCTCTCTCGTTCACACCACCAACTCCAGGCCTCCTCTCCAGTCGACCACGCTGCCGTACGGCCCGGCCCAGACACGACCCCGTCCGCGTCGCACCGACGGCGACGACCGAGACAGCCAACTCCTGCTCGGCCGTGCAATGGTCGGGCGAAGGCGGCGGCGACGAGGGCGACGATGAGACGAGTCCACTCCCAGTACCAGCAGCCTGGAGCTCTCGATCTCCACTGCTTTTATTCCCCTCGGCGCGGCTTGGCTCCACCCTGTCCGCGCCTCCCTTCTCGAACCCACCAGACGGTTCCAGGGGCCTCCCTATAAGGTTTACCGTGACCCTTGCCCCAGTTCCTCTGCCCTGCCGGCACACACACCGTGTACATGCTCAACGAGGTGAAGTGTCCACCGCAGTTGCTGCTGCTGTACAGCAGTCGGCGCTGTGTCACTACACTAGTACAGCACACCAGCGTGTTGGAGAGTAAATCCACAACATTTTCCATCTGAGTACGACTCACTCACCTAACCCAGCAACCTCTATTATGGATATTTCTGTCATCAAAATTAAAATAACCAATCTCCGTTATTTTTCAACCGATTATGTAAAACTTTAAACTTCGTATTTTATTGCCTTATTTAGAAGCCCCTGATAATGTAGTTTAGCTTATGCCCAACCCCAGCCATGATTAGACCCTGGTTATAGCAAAAACGCATGAACAAAGACAATAAACAATTGTGTCCGGTGTATCCCGTTGCGAATGTGCATCAACATCAGGGTACAAGCAGCACAAAGAATGCAACAAGCGTGGTAGAACGCAACCCACGCTAAGCGTAGCGGCTACAAAACAGTACCGAGGTCGGTAAGATAGTCAAAAAAATTACCCGCCACACAAACACGTGGACAAAATCACTCAGGCCTTGAGCCTTTTGCATAAAAAACACAACAACTATATAACCTGGCCCTGAAGAACTGCATTGTGGTCATTTTGTCTGAGAACGGCATCAAATCCGACTTGAGTAGACGTCACCGACTAGCACGCTGCAGTGACACACACACACAGAGACAGACAACTGTGGGCCGCTTTGTCCTCATGAGTACTCATCAGAGCCAGTGTGGCCACCGATGCTCACGACTGTGGCCCGCGTGGTTTTTGCCGAATGCACAAGGGCTGAGTGACTCGCGTGCACATTCATGTGTGTCGCGTAGTCAATTAGTCCACGGGCTCAAAGCAGAGTTCTGATAGCACGGGTGGTGGTGGCTCACTCGATAACGATGGTGTGTAATGGTCAACCGCATCAAGGCATCAACGGGCCGTTGCTCACATCTGAACCTTATCACACATTCTCATCTTATCATCCGTTTATATAAGCGCCTTAACTAAGGCGCTGTACAGTGAACTAACTAGGGTACACAGTGATTGGCGGGATGAAACGAGATGAGTGGATGGGATATATATACAAGATGAGGTGGTGGTGGTGACGATGCGTGGAGCAAACGAAGATGGATCCGAGTGGATTGATGATGGGTGACCAATCTCGATTTGAGTGACCATTGGGATCCATACTCTTTGATTATTTCGGTAAAGTCACGTAGGTGAAAATAAGAATAAAAATAGATTACAGTAATTTTGTTCTTCTTGGTTCTTTCACGTGACTTTACCGAAAGAACCAAGAAGATGAATCCCTGCAGTCACGAAAGCTTTAAATCGAAAAGTAATTGTTTATTGCTGTGGTTGTCCCCCTGATGACGGAAGCTTGTGTTGCTTCCGAAACGTCGTGATTTAATTTGATTATTTTTATTCTTATTTTTTATTTTTCATCTACGTGACTTTACCGACAGAACCAAAGGTGTTTGGATCCTTGCAGTCACGAAAACTTCAAATCTAGAATGACCATTGGGAGTTGGGGACAGGGAAGGCGTCAGTGCGAGTGGGGAGAACAACACGGGGAGATGGGAGGGTGGGCAAGAGAGAATTCGTGGGCTTTTAGAGACGAGCGGAAGGTCATTTGAAGGCCAGCCACAGTGGTGCCATTGTGGACATGCAACCCGTACAGTATCGTGTTCCCCTGCGGTCCGAGGAAACCCCGACACGATCTCACTCTGCAGAGCCACTCTCCTCGTGGCCAGCAGACCTCGACAGCGGCATTCATCCCCTGAACGTATTGCCGGCATCTCACAGCGCGCGATAAGCATGCTGGTGAAGTATGACGATTGCGTTATTCGCTTTCCTCGACGATTCGGAACACGTCGCTGCAGGCTCCAGTTTGACATCCCAGGTGGCGCTTACCAACGAGTCAAATCATCGCTCTTGGCACCGTGGACTGAGCGTGGGGCGGGGGGGGTGGGACAGGGTACGCGCACGCTGGGTGAGGCTCATCCGGAGTGGGCGTGCGAGGCATGGAGCTGGGGGGGGGGGCGCCGGTGTTGGGCGGAGCCGCCTCGGCCCCCTACTAAACAACGGCGCAGCCCTCCCGAGGCACAACCGGCGAGCGACATCGACATCCACACGGCAGCGTTCGCTCTCTCCTATCAGCAGCAGCAGCATCATCAGCAGCATCATCATCAGGAGCAGCGGCAGCAGCTGCAGCGGTGCGGGCGATGATGATGGCCCAGCGCCGTTGCTGCGTCTGCGTGCTGACCGCGCTCGCTCTGCTCCTCGTGGCGGCGGTGGCCCCGTCCCAGGGCGACCCGTGTGAGTAGCCGACCGGTCGGCAGGGGAGAGGGGGTGGAGGGGGTGGAGGGGGGTCTGGTGGAGGGCGAGTGGTGGTGAGTGGTGGGTGGTGGGTGGTAGGCGAGTGCTGGGTGGTGAGTGGGTGGTGAGTGGAGGGCGAGTGGTGGGTGGGTGGTGGTGGGTGGTGAGTGGTGGAGGGCGAGTGGGTGGTGAGTGGTGGGCGAGTGGTGGTGGTGGTGGTGGAGGGCGAGTGGTGAGTGGGTGGTGAGTGGAGGGCGAGTGGTGAGTGGGTGGTGAGTGGAGGGCGAGTGGTGGGTGGTGGTGGTGGTGGTGGTGGAGGGCGAGTGGTGGGTGGTGGTGGAGGGCGAGTGGTAGGTGGTGGGTGGTGGTGGAGGGCGAGTGGTAGGTGATGGGTGGTGAGTGGAGGGCGAGTGGTGAGTGGGTGGTGGTGGGTGGTGAGTGGTGGAGGGCGAGTGGGTGGTGAGTGGTGGAGGGCGAGTGGGTGGTGAGTGGTGGAGGGCGAGTGAGTGGTGAGTGGTGGAGGGCGAGTGAGTGGTGAGTGGTGGAGGGCGAGTGAGTGGTGAGTGGTGGAGGGCGAGTGAGTGGTGAGTGGTGGAGGGCGAGTGAGTGGTGAGTGGTGGAGGGCGAGTGGTGGGTGGTGGTGGAGGGCGAGTGGTGGGTGGTGGTGGAGGGCGAGTGGTGGGTGGTGGTGGAGGGCGAGTGGTGGGTGGTGGTGGAGGGCGAGTGGTGGGGGGCGAGTGGTGGAGGGCGAGTGGTGGGTGGTGAGTGGGTGGTGAGTGGAGGGCGAGTGGTGGGTGGTGAGTGGAGTGGTGGTGGGTGGTGAGTGGAGGGCGAGTGGTGAGTGGAGGTCGAGTGGTGGGTGGTGAGTGGTGGGCGGTGAGTGGAGGGCGAGTGATGGGCGAGTGGTGGGTGGAGGGCGAGTGGTGGGTGGAGGGCGAGTGGTGAGTGGGTGATGGTGAGTGAGTGGTGAGTGGTGGGTGGTGAGTGGTGAGTGGGTGCCGGGAGATGGCTGAGAGCGGCGGCGGCTCTCGCCGAGATTCATAGTCGAGGCTTCGCCGGGACTTGTGAACGAAGGACCCGTCCGCCCGGCCCGGCGTGTCGCGAGACTTGCGCGTACAAGAACGATCACAAATGGGTATTTGTTTTAGGACGTTTGCGGCCCAATCCCTAACGAAGTTGTGTTCACTGAACAAGTGGGAAGAAACCGGAGCACCCGGAGAAAGCCCCCACCCCCTCCCCCTCCCCCACCACCACGCACTGCGCGAGGGCACAACGCTCGATCCCCGTAGAGAGGTAAATCTATGGCGATGTTCGGCCACTCGCATTCTCCTGTGGAGCCGGGGGGGGGGGGTAACGGCTCTTCATCACAACAACATCTGTGCGGTGACCCCCCCCCCCTCGCTTGCTGGCTCCGCAGCATAACAGAGACGGAACGGCTCCCAACAACAAGGTACCAGGTTGTCGTGCTCGTGGTGGTGGTCGTGGTGCCTGCGTAGTCGCTCTCCCCTCCCTCTCCCGTGCGTTGCTTCGGGGTTGTTGCCGAGTTTCTGTGGGGCGCGCGGTGCCCGACGTTCCGCCCCACGTGCCGTGCGGGAGAGCGGGAACTTTAGTCCTCGAATCGCGAAACTCCCGAAACCGGCACGTGCAGCGGAACGTCGGACATCGCGCCCGACAACGCGCGGTACACGCGGGCTGAGCGACGCGGGCAGCAGCAGCAGCACGACGCGAAACCCGAAGCCGTTGCTCGCGCACGGACGTTGCGGAACTGCTGCGTGTGTGTGTGCTGCCTGCTGCGTGTGTGCTGCCTGTGTGTGTGCTGCCTGCTGCGTGTGTGCTGCGTGTGTGTGTGCTGCCTGCGTGTGTGCTGCGTGCGTGTGTGCTGCCTGCGTGTGTGCTGCGTGTGTGCTGCCTGGGTGTGTGCTGCGTGTGTGCTGCCTGGGTGTGTGCTGCGTGTGTGCTGCCGGGGTGTGCTGCGTGTGATGCTGGGTGTGTGAGCTGCGTGTGCTGCTGGGTGTGTGCTGCCTGGGGTGTGCTGCGTGTGTGTGTGTGCCTGGGTGTGCTGCTGGTGTGTGCTGTGCGTGTGTGCTGCCTGGGTGTGTGCTGCGTGTGCTGGGCCTGTGTGCTGCATGTGTGCTGCGTGTGGTGTGTGCTGAGGGTGTGTGCTGCGTGTGTGCTGCCTGCGTGTGTGCTGCGTGTGTGCTGCCTGGGTGTGTGCTGCGTGTGTGCTGCTGCGTGTGTGCTGCTGGGTGTGTGCTGCGTGTGTGCTGCCTGGGTGTGTGCTGCATGTGTGCTGCGTGTGTGTGTGCTGCCTGGGTGTGTGCTGCGTGTGTGCTGCCTGCGTGTGTGCTGCGTGTGTGCTGCCTGGGTGTGGTGTGTGCTGCTGGGTGTGTGCTGCATGTGTGCTGCAGTGTGTGCTGCACTGTGGTTGTGTGCTACTGGGTGTTTGCTGCATGTGGTGTGCTGCATCTGTGTGCTGCATGTGGCTAGCCTGGTGCTGAGTGTGTGTGTGTGCTGCCTGTGTGTGCTGCGTGCGTGCTGCGTGTGCTGCGTGCTGCCTGCGTGTGTGCTGCGTGTGTGTGTGCTGCGTGTGCTGCGTGCGTGTGTGCTGTGTGTGCTGCGTGTGCTGCGTGCTGTGCTGCCTGTGTGTGTGCTGCCTGTGTGTGTGCTGCGTGTGTGTGTGCTGCCTGTGTGTGTGCTGCGTGTGTGCCGCCTGTGTGTGTGTGTGTGCTGCGTGTGTGTGTGCTGCACGGTGCGTGGCCTTGGGGTATATTTGTTTGGTTTGGGGCTTTCAATGTTTTACAGAGAATCTCCTCCCTCCCTCCCGCACGCAGCGAGCAGCAGCAGCTTCACGAGGCGCGCGTGTTTACCCTGCGGGGGGGGGGGGTGTGAATGTGGCCCAGGCTGCACCGCTATCCCAGCGTGCCGCGTGAATGCCGCAGCGCGTGGCGACGTGCACGAGGGGGGGGGGGGGGGTGAGGGGCCCGGCTGGTACCACCCGGCAGGTCACGTCTGCCCTGACCAGCCACTCTCCCCGCCTACCAACAGCAGGGAGCGATGCTCTTCGTGAGTTACGGGAATTGCTACTTCGACCTGACTCGGGGAATTGGGCACCAACGCAGCGTACAATATTTGTTATGTTAGTTTGACGTTTCTTCACGGCAGAGCGGATGCGCGGATTGATCGGCGAAGAACAATAAAGTCGCTCGATCTCCCTGCCCTCTCCATGCTCCGTGGAAGGCTCGTCGCCTGAAACGTCGGGCTACTGTTGACCAATGTTGTTGTGGGCCATTAGGCCGAGCGGAAGACCGTGAGCCGTGGGAGGAGGGTGTAGGGGGGAGGGGGTAGGGTAGGGGTGGGGGGGTAGGGGAGGGGTGGGGGGAGGGAGACCCCCCCCCCTGCATTGTTTGCTTTGTGCAGACTCTGCCGGGGCTTTCCGCAGCGTGCAGAACAATGACCCCACGCGCCCACCCTCCCCCTCGCAGCGCTAAACAGCTGGATACAAAACAACACTTTCCTGCTGAAAGGGGGGAAGCGCATGGAAATAGGGGTGGGTGGGGGGACAGGGGGGTGTAGGGGAGAGAGTTAAGCAACTTCCACCATTGTTTCAGCTGCCGCGCCGGGAGGTCGACCCGAGCCCCGCTGTGCGGTCCACACAGTGCGCTGGCCGCTACGTCGGCGTCCAACACGCGCCGGCTGGCAGCGTCGGTGTGCGGGGCTTTTACTGGAAGACTTTGCTGTCCTTTCATGGCTTTTTCTGTTTGCGCGTAGTCACTTTAAGATGTTTCTTGTTCATGTTTGTTGCGGTTGCACCCGATTCAAGAGCCGAATGGCTCGCACAGGGTTATACCAAATAAATGAACTGAAATACATGAACTGAACTGAGCTGACGAGCAGAAGCTAATTTTGTTCGCGGTCAAACGCCGCCTTGGGGGGGGTGGTAGGCGGGTGAAAGTCAATCGGTGGCCCTGTTGGCTGCATAACGCGTCCCAACATCGTGGCCTGCAAGCGGTCACCACCACCACGCGCGTGAGAGCCCTGGGGAGCCGTGGGCAGCGTGAGGCACGTGGACGTCCTCGCGCGGAATATTCGTCGCACAAAATACGTTGGCGGGGAATACGCATCCCACCCGTACTTGTCTCGCCACGTTAAAACATTTCGAGCGTTTTTACTCCTCGGTTTCAACATGCTGATGAGACACTACTGAACCAAATGCTGTTGTGTGTGTATCTGCTGTGTGTGTGTGTGTATCTGCTGTGTGTGTGTATCGGCTGTCTGTGTGTGTGTGTCTGTGTGTGTGTGTGTGTGTCTGCCAGTGGTGGTTAATTTGGGGTGCACGCCCCCCTGGGGGTGCGAAATGCCCTTTCTGGGGGTGCGGGACATGGCCAGATGATTTTCGAAGGTTAAATCATCAAAACGCATATTAAGCACGGGCATGTAAGTAACAACTACTTTGTTTCATAGCAAAGGTTAAGAACCACTGATATGTCAACAACAACAACCGCCATTCGCCACGGCTCTTGTGCCAGGCCATGTGCACCTTGAGGCTACGTGAAGTGTCGAACGCCCGCTGGCAGGAGGTCACGGGGCAGACCCACGCGCTCCACAAAGACCGTGGGGGTTGATGGGATGCGTACAGAAAGACTTTTATGTGGCGAGACAAATATGGGGACGGAGGCCCCCGTTCCCCCCGAGGTTCTCCGACCCGGAACGGTCGAACAGCGAGACCGCCCTGGCGCCACGCTGCCCACACAGGCATGGGGCGGGGGGGGGGCTGCCCCTTTTGTTTCCACACAAAGCTCTGTCGGCGCTTGACTCCGGGTGGCCCTGGCGAGCGACGGCGGCGGCCGCGTTCTCATCGGATCGGTTTCACCCCGTGCCGCCCTCCCGTGCCGCCCGGCACTGCTTGTTTAGCGGGCCGGCTCGTGTTTTGTCTTTGCCCGGTTGGCTTTTTTTGTGTGCTCTGGAGCGGGCATTTGCTTTGTTTATCCTGTGACTGGTATCTGCCATGCACGACTGTTGCGTCTCTCGCAGGAACGCGCGGGCGATTTTATGTACACGCATGCGGTCGTCGTGTGTTTTGTGATCTGCTGCTGTTTGTTTGAAAGTTATTTACCGGATGCGGACGGGTGGCCTCGGAGATCAGAGTGGTGAGCCGGTACCGTCGAGATATCCAGGGTTTGAACCCAGGTTTCGGGCATCGTGTAACGAGTCGATGGTCTCAACCCATTTCACCGATGATCGCGCGCACAGAAAAAAAACATCTCGTGAAATTTTGGCTCTGCGATTTTCATTTGGCTAAATTCCAGCTCCTGAGAATTACAAACATGGGTATTTGAATATATGTATGTTGAACTTCTTTCACACAGTACGTAGCCAACCGTGCTAATCGGAGGTGCGAGGAAGAACCACAAACTAAACGCAAACAGCAGTGCACGCGACGGGCGTTCCTCTCGGCGGCGGAGCAGGTGGGAAAGTGCTGCCCTCGGCGGGCCGTTCTCTCGCGCAAAAAAATGGCTGCGCTGATCTCCTGAACCTCCTGATGTAATCGCTCGCCTCGTGACCACGTGATGCCGATAGTGCAATCCGAGATGATAAAATAGTTTACGAAAAATATTTCTACAAGTCCCTTAAACCTCTGGCCGTCCTTCCCTTTGTCGTCAGTCCTGACCGCACAACAGGCCGAGCGGTTCCTGAGCCGACAGAGGCGCGCGTACAACGTGTTCGAAGAGGCGAAGCAGGGCAACCTGGAGCGTGAGTGTGTCGAGGAGTTCTGCAACAAGGAGGAGGCGCGGGAGGTCTTTGAAAACGACCCCGAAACGGTAACGGGGCCCGCAGTGGGGCCCAACGCCACCGCCTCCCCACGGGGGTCGGCTGACTGCCTGCCTGCCTCGCACTGTGGCTGACTGCCTGCCTGCCTCGCCCTGTAACTGACTGCCTGCCTGCCTTGCTCTAACTGCCTGCTTCCCGCGCCCTTTGATTGCCTGCCCTGCCTGCCCTGCCTGCCTGCCTGCTGCGTTGACGAAGCAGCAATTCTGATCCTGACCAATGTTGCTACTCAGCCACACACATGGCCAAGAATTGCAAAGAACCAGCAGCATGAATTATTATATTATATAAGTAATAATAACGATAGCAGCCATTCACCCAGACATGCCTAGCCGAGTCTCAGGAGGGTCACCTGCAACTGCAGTTTTACATTGAGGCGGTGGAGCCAGATGGTGGAGTGGCGCTTCGCTGCGATGATGATGCCTCCCTCCTCCGTATTTGTGCATCGGGCATTGAGTCGTGATGTCCTCCGCACGTTGAAGGGTGCTTTGACTTGGGGAGGGAGAGAACCCGAAAAAAACCCCAGCACCACCACCGCCTGGGTACCTCGCGGTCCGTCTTGACCCGTTGAGTCCTACCCCGGCTGAACGTCCTCCTCGGCCTCTGCGACTGAGCCGCGGGTGCGGTGCGAGCACGGAGGGGGCGGTCCGGTCGATGTCTGGCGAACGCACAGCGTCGGTTCCTCCACCCGTGTCCGGCTCCAGTGCGTGCGGATCGCGCATGAGAGAATATTCCTCGTGTGCGGACGTTTGATTGTACTTTTACACGCTTTTATTTAACTCGCTCTGTCTGTTGTTGTTATCGTATTCTCAAATCTTGTAACTAAATTATAACCCACTTCCCAATGTGGTATCGACTGCAAACTTGGTATACTTATGTCATACTGATGACAATACTATATTCTATCATTAAAATATATATATTTTTTTAAACCATCTTTTTTTATGTTATGTTTCGGCTTGGGTCTAATTGTCCACGCTCAACTGACGTTGGCTGTAATTGGCCACGGTTCCCCTTACGTTATGACAAGCTTCGGGGCCACTTCCTGGAGTCGTGGAGTTTTGCCATTACAAGTACGGTACATTTCATTAAAGCGTGTTTTTAAAAAAAGTATTTATAAACATTACTTATTTGTGTTTTTTTTCTATTCCAGAACTACTTCTACCCCAAGTATTTAGGTACGCACGCATACGCTGCGCTGCATGTAACACTACGCGTGGCTCTTGCTGCAACCCAAACACACGGGAGTAGTACTGTCACGTCCACATTACAAACAACCTATGGTGCTCTTTAAACGCACTAGTACGTTTCCTTTTATGATTTTACTTGGGCATCAACGACTGCAGCCGGTTAGATTGTACTGCTTTAGTGATGCACTAAATGATCTATTAAATTCCTTCGCTGTATTTCGGTCAGTCAGCCACTCTCCTTTAATAAACCAGGAGAGGAGTCCATTAAATACACAGCAGCATTGCCGCACTAGCAAGGGCGACTTGGCTGTGTAAGCCCCGGTAATGGACCGTTGAGACCATAAGCCTCTCTTTGTAGGGAGACGTGGGCCAATTCATACGTTGCAACGGTTACCAGTGCAAAATGTAAACGTTACAGAGTTGAACACATTAAGTGCACGTGTATACGATTCCTCCACCACTGGCACGTGATGATGACTGTGGTGACGCTGCTGACGCTGGCGACTGTGGTGACGATGGTGGGGCTGGTGACCGTGGTGACGATGGTGACGCTGGTGACCGTGGTGGGGCTGGTGTGACGCTGCTGACGCTGCTGACGCTGGCGACTGTGGTGACGATGATGACGCTGGTGACCGTGGTGGGGCTGGTGTGACGCCGGTGTTGCGCTGCCGCCCCCAGACTGCCTGTCGGAGCACCACATCACTGAGGACGACCCGCACGACAACTGGAGAGCCAGCAGCGTCAGCAGCGTGCTGCGCACCTGCGTCACCGGTGAGCAGAGCGCCGTCTTTTTCACCCCAGTGGCGATGTTTACACACCACACCACCAGGTACTCATTTGAGGCTGAGCAGACCTAGGGGAGGCCCAGGACCGGTTCAGATCATTGTCACTGGTGTTGTTGGCCCTGAGCGGGAATCAAACTCGGGTCGCCGGGGTTCGATAGCGGAGCGCGCTAACCGCTGCGCCAGCACTCGTTACCGAACACCGTGGATGTGGAGCCATGATGTGTGTGTGCGTGTGTGTGCGTGTGTGTGTGCGTGTGTGTGCGTGTGTGCCCGCGTGTGTCTGTGTGTGTGTGCCCGCGTGTGTGCGTGTGTGCCCGCGTGTGTCTGTGTGTGTGTGCCCGCGTGTGTGTGTGCCCGCGTGTGTGTGTGTGTGCCCGCGTGTGTGTGTGTGTGTGCCCGTGTGTGTGTGTGTGCCCGCGTGTGTGCCCGCGTGTGTGTGCCCGTTCTCCGCTCGCGCAGCGCTGCCCAACCAGTGCATGCCCTCGCCGTGCTTGCGCGCCAGCTCCCTGACCTGCATCGACCAGCAGGGCGACTACGCCTGCATCTGCCACGTCGGCTGGACCGGCAAGAACTGCACACAGGGTGAGTGGCGTGGCACAGGGTGGGGGGGGAGGGAAGGGGGGAGGGGGGGATGGAAGGGGGGAGGGGAAGTGGCGACGACGAGCCGTGGGCTTGGGGAACACGTGGTGGTAACGCCTGCGCCTCGCAGGAGCAAGGGCCCAGCTTCGATCCCCGACTGGGGTGCCCCGTGCTGCCCGCCGCATAGCGGGGCCCCCGCAGAGGCCTGCTGCAATCCGGCGTGAGCGGCGCTCGCCCATCCAGGTGCAAATCCCTGCTGAGCTCCCTCGGTCCGACGAGATGACTTTGACAACGATTTGCTTTTGACAGAGAGCACCTTCCTTCATGCCGTGGTGCCTCATCTCGACGCGTTTGAAAGGACACCCCCCTCCCCCCCCCCAGCGGCAGCTGTACCTGCTTGGCACGAGGAGACCCCGACACTCTGGCGTCAGTCCAGCCGGTGCGAGGAGACAATCGGTGCTGCGCGAGGTCCCGGTTGAGTGACGTTGATCGGACGCACCCCGTGCGATTCGGTCGGAGGCCCCCAAGATTGCGGCGTTCGTAGAACTGGGGGCCGGCTGTTCTCTGTGTCCGGTGTTCAGACATCAACGAGTGCGACAAGAACAACGGGAGATGCGCCCACGAGTGCATGAACCTGCCCGGCACTCGCCGCTGCCGCTGCCAAAGAGGCTACTTGCTGCAGAGCGACCACATGTCCTGCCAAGGTGCGCCCCCACCCCCTCGCCCCCTCCCCCACCCTGCCGGCGCCGCGCACACACGCACCGTCACCCAGATACACACAACAACAACCGCCATTCGCCACTAAGTGGCGGTGACGTCACTACGACGCTTGTGCCAGACTATGTGCACCTTGAGGCCACGTGAAGTGTCGAACGCCCTGCTGTCAGGAGGTCACGGGGCAGACCCAGATGCCACGGGTCGACTGAGACGACTGGTTGATGCACCACCTGTGCCCCCTACTGTGACAACTTGCTGTGCTTTAGCCACCGGCGCTCGTTGTTGTGAGTGTCGCTCCTCCCCCCTCTGTTGTTGTTGGAGGGCGACTGCCTCCAAATGCCCAGTAGGGTCCTTCACGAGCCTCCTCCACAGAGGCCGATCTTGACACCGCTGGTACCAGTCATCGGCAAGTCCACTCGGCTTCACATCCTCCTGTACCACATCACTCCATCTCTTCTCTAGCCCGTGCCGTGCCCGTTTTTCCCCCTCGATCCGGCAGAACAAAAGCTGTTTAGGCATGCAGTGGCTGGACACGCGGACTACATGACTGAGCCAACGCAGCCTTACCTGTCGGAGGAGCTCACCGATGGGACTTTGTCCAGATCTTTCAAGGATTTGTGAGCTCCTCACACAATCCAGCCTGGTTAAACCCAGGATGGATCGTAGGCAGGCCAGCCTAAATGTTTCTAACCGGCGAAGATGTTCCATTAGGGGGGGTCCACGTTTCGCAAGCGTAGAGAAGGGAGGGAATGACTGTGGTCGAGAAAACCTGAAGCTTCGTGTGGAGCGAGAGACCAGGTAGCTTCCACACAGCGTTACGCAACCGATGAAAAGATAATAGCCGCTCGACTTATTCGGAGTGAGACCTCTGCTGTTAAACCAGAGCCGGTCATGAGCACACTGCCAAGGTATGGGAAACTCTCCACTCTCTGTGCAACTGCCCTATCACCAATTGGGAGTTGTGGGGGTGTAGTGTCCGATGGTACAAAATACCCAGGGAGGTGCTAAGTTTTGGTGGGGCTGATGTTAAGTCCCCACCTCTTAGTGGCAAGCTCCAGGTTCAGCAGCAGCGCCTCCAACTCCTCCTCTGAGTGAGTAGCAATTACCAGATCATCGGCATACATAACATGGTTGAGCAATAGGGAGCCATCCCTTGACCGCACCCGGACATTGTTCAGCCTCCCATTGTATCTGTAACAGATGGAAATTCCTCCGGTACAGCTATTGAAAGCTTCACGAACTACGTTGTCGAAAAGGATGTTAAATAATGTGGGAGCCAGATGACATCCCTGTCGCACCCCAAGGTGTAGAGAGAATGGCTCTGACTCCCGGCCACGTAGTTTTACCCGGGCCCACTCCCCATCATGAAGGTCCTTAATGATCGTGAGCAAGAGGGTCAAGGACTCCGAAAGCATGAAGAACAACCCAGAGCCCAGGTCTACTGATGGTATCATAGGCTTTGAACAGGTCAATAAAGCACAGATGTAGGTCTTGTTGGAATTCCCTACACCTCTGCTGTAGTAGACGGACAGAAAATATGGTATCTGTGCAGGACCGCCCTTTCCTGAAACCGCATTGGGGCTCTGCAAGCCTCTCCTCAGCATGCCTAGCAAGGCGATGTTGAATAATCCTTGCTAGGACCTTTCCCGGCACACTGAGAAGTGAGATGCCCCTGTAGTTGTTACAGTCTGTGCGGTCCCCCTTCTTAAAGAGGGGGACCACCAGTTGCCGGATACACACACACACACAGCATAACACACATACATAGCGTCGCACACACTCGCACAGCGTCATCCACACACACAGTATCGTCCAGACACACACCCACAGTGTCGCACACAGACAGCATCACACACGCAACATCACACACAGCATCACCCAGACACATACCCACAGTATTGCACACACACACCCAAAGCGCCACACACACACGGGCATCAATGCCCGCAGCATAATCTCACAGAGAGCCTAATAACGGCAGTTTGTTGTTTATGGTGGTCATCCTTGTGTAGCGAGTTCAACTGAGTCGCAACACATTTATTAACAACAACACCAGGGGTAACTGCCCCTTAACAGGATAACAACCTATGGTTGTGGACCACCAGGCTAACTGCACTAACTACACCTTAACTAGCTACAACGGACCGGACCACAGCTTGGGTCCAGGTCCACAGTGTTGGAGACTCTGTAGGACGTATAACGTAGATCTTCAAGATGACAACAGCAGCCGGTCCCTCTCGGGGACCCGGCTTATATCCTCTGTGATGTGGCTAGCCCCGCCCTTAGCCACGCCCACCTTCTAGAATCCTCGAGCAGGATCTTGACCCTGACACGTGACCTCCCCTAGCCCCCACCTGGGGCCCCTGTGTAGACTTAACCCGGTCACGTGTCCTCTGGGGCCAACCAGAGTGCCACGGCCTATAGTAACCCCATTCCCATGGCCAGCACTCTCACATCCTATCCTGTAGGGGTCGGCACTGCACGCTACGTGTGGTGCCATCCAACGCTATCGATCAGCGCTCACCGAGCCCCTCTAGGGCCGGTACTGCACCCACGTGTGAGTGGTACAATACATCGCACGCCGTGCCTCTCTAGGGCCGCCCTACACAGCGACATCACGCGATGTCACTACACATGGAAGCACTATCCATGTTTAACACGATGAGCTTCTGATAAGGCCGAGTGCATTCTGGGTGAATTTGGTAATTATCTCGCAGAGTTCCCTGCTGTCGCTGCCGCGACTGCTGCTGCTGCTGCGGGGCAGGCAGCAGTAAACAGGATGCTGTTGAGGCAGCGACGATGATGATGACGAGGGAGCGTCCCGGGGTACGGACCGCGCGCGTGCCTTCCCTTGTGGCGTAGCGGCCGCGTCCCTCTCTGTCGCTCCAGGGTGGAGCCGATGGGCAATGGATTCGGCACAGTTGCCGAGCACGAGCCTCAGAACGCCAAGCGGCCAGCCACAAACGGCACTATATAGATAAGAGTGGAACGCGTTTGTTGACTTGAAAAAAGGTTGCTATCATTATTATAAGACCTTGGGGAGAGAGAGACAAAGGGGGGAGGGGAATTCCACAGTGGAGCAGTGCGAGGGGAGGAAGCGGGAAGAGAAGTGTTGTGATATGGTGGGTGGGTGAGTGGGTGAGGTGAGTGCGCACAGCAGTGCGTATCGGATGTCTGTCTGTCGCTTTTTCTTTATCGTTGTAAATTCCCTGCGGTGTTAAAATATTTATTCACGAATGTCTGGTCCTCTGCCTTGGGAGATAACCACGAACCGCAAGGTGGCTAAGCAGTCACAATGGTAATAATCTTGTGCAGTCGTTTGCCAATCCAGGTGAAAGCCTCCCCACATCGTGTTGGACGTGGGGTTGTTTTGAACATACTTCGCCACGCTCGCCAGTGTGTGTGTGTGTATGTACGTTGCGCTTCTTTCGCACCGTACGTAGCCAACCGTGCTAACCGAAGGTCTGGGAAACGACAACAAACGAAACGCAAAAGGCAGTTACAAAGAAATTCGTTTTCTATCTAGATTTTTTTTAAAGTGTGGAATGGTGAAGAGGGTACCCAGGGCTGGTTCAGATATCACTTGCCACTGGCGTTGGCCATGACTGGGAGTCGAACTCAGGTGGCCAGCTGTAGCGGTAGTGCAGTAACCCCTAACGACTGCGCCGTACCACTCGTTAGAGTACGAAAACTCCCACGCGCGGTACGGTGGCTCCTATGAACGTGGAGGTAGTTACCGGTCTCGTAGAACACGCAGTGCCCGTGCTGGGGGGGGCTGCGTGACCATTTGTTTACGTTCCAGAACGTCCGCAGCTTGGTCTCTGTTTATATTTGTGTCCGGTTTTTAATGTCGGAAAGGGGAAGAGTGAAAACACGATCTGTAAATATAAACCTGGGAGCCGTTCTCTGTCCCGCCGAGGGATTTCAAGGGAAACCAATTCTCAGAATGCGGGGGCGGCTCGCAGAGCGTTTTCGGTAAACGCCGTCGTGTTGATGCCGGCGGCTTCCTCCGGGGGATGTTCTGCGGACGTGAAGCGTTCCTCTCAGCCGAACCCACCCCCCCCCCCCGAGCAAAATACACTCGCCGAGGCAGCGGTAAACAGCTGCCGGAGGGAGTGCCCCGTCGGCGAATCTGCTTCCAGCCGCCAACGGTCACGGCAGACGACGCGGCTCGAGTTGAGACGGCCGAGCGAGGGTGCCCGCGCCCGCCCGCGCCCTGTGACCCCCAAGTGGGCGGGGGGCCGGGTGGGGGCTGGGCAAGCGGCGTGGGGGGTGTTCCACGCGGCGGCCCGCACCGAGTGCCGTCTTCGTGAACCCGTACTCGGCGTGGTGACCGTGTGCTACGAGGAGGCCCACGTCCAGCAGTGGATTGGCCGTAGGGTTATGCGCGTACAACTTATACGGGTGGATCGTCGATGTGCTTTGTCGATGCTGTGCTGCAAATGCGATGCGAAAGTTTGCCAATACAGACAGCTCGCGAGGACTTTGAAACCGAGAGATCAAAGTGGAGCCATAGGCGTGTCAACTAACATGGAAAATGTCAGTGTACGCATGTTGAACTTCTTGCGCACTGTACGTAGCCAACCGTGCTCGTCGGAGGTGCGGATGATGGTGATGCACGAGTGCTGCTAACCCGGCGGCGGGTCACTCCTGCTGCTGCGTGTCGCTGTGGTCGCTTCGCAGATGAGGACGAGTGCTCGCTCGGCCAGGGCATCTGCGGCCAGGCCACGTGCATCAACACGGAGGGCTCCTTCCACTGCAGCTGCCCCCGTGGCTTCGTCTTCAACGAGATGAACCAAACGTGCGACGGTGAGGAGGGCTCTCAATGTCGCAGCGCCGAGCCGCTGAGGGTCCTGGGTTCTCGTGTGCGGCTAGCCGATGGCCTCAACCGAGAAAAAAGTTGGTCCACCACTTAATTTGGCCAAATACCACCTCGAAGATTTAAAACGCCGGCTTAACTGCGGTTCGACAAAACTTACTCCGAGTGACAGAGCGGCCGGGGAGAGTGCCCGCCACCTACAGTGTGACATAGGCCACTTGCAGGGGTCTCGGAGGTAGCGCGGCAGTATCCGCTTCCGTGGGCCGTTCCCTAATCCAGAGAGTTGCGCTGCTTCGCTAGTTCCAAACAGATTCGCCCTGTGAAACTGCTCCCGGATAGCTCAACGGGGATAAAGTTGTGGGAACATCACCCCTTGAGGGTTGGGGGGGTCGTATTCTTGAGATCACCCTCCGAGCAAACGGCGATCTCGAGACAGGAACAGGTGCTCCCGTGACCATCGGCTCGATCCTCCCAGCATGTCTTGCATGCCACATCACCTCGCCAAACCTGCGCGTGCGAAGCACGGCAGCGGCATTTTGTTTTGAACCGCCGAGCAGAAGGGCAATCGGACCACCGCGTCCGCGTGTCCGGAATCATCGGCACAGCTCAGGTGCTCGTCCACCTCGCGAGTTTTCTCATCGTTGTACGGAAAGTCGGAGAATTGTTTATTTGATTTGTCCCTTTTGATTGCTACGGGGATCCGGGCACGACCTCGCGGGCCACTGTATGCAAGGGGGCCGGTGAGGGGAGGGGGGGGCGGGTGTCGAGAGAGCGCCGATGAAGCGGCCGTTGCGTCCCCGCGGCAGATGTGAACGAGTGCCTGGACAACTCTGTCTGCGCCCAGCTGTGCGTCAACACCCAGGGGAGCTACACCTGCCACTGCGACGGCCGCAGCGGCTTGCAGCTCGGCAACGACCTCCACCAGTGCAAGGTGCCCGCAGCACGCCACCCCGTCCCTCGGGCGCAGCGTCGGCGGGAACCACGGCGGGAACCACGGCGGGAACCACGGCGGGAACCACGGCGGGAACCACGGGGGGAACCACGGGGGGAACCACGGCGGGAACCACGGCAGGCCGGACCCCACAGATGAGCAAAATCAGCAAGATGCGCTCACATTGCAAATTTGTACCGCAGAGTTCACAGTTGGTTTTATTTTGGGGTGAGATCACCGTGAAGGTTCCATGCCAATTGTATTAAACCGTGATTCTCCACCACCCAATCAAACAAAGTTGTCACGTCGGCAAATAAATGCAAATTTCAATCGGGAAGTGCTTTCACGTGAGATCTGAGCCCTCGTTTAATAACCTGTTGACGTGTTGGAGGAAAAGTGTCAACATTTTGCTTGCCTTTTTTAACATTCCGGTCTCTCTAATCATCTGAATCAATTGGCATATCTGCCCATGTAACAACTTGATTGGCTACATCAGATGATGGAGGGTTATGGGTAATAAATGAGCATTGTACCTACACAGGTGACCTCGCCCAAAAGAAACCAATTATGAATCGTAACATTGGCCGTGAAGCCTACGTGTACAATGTACTACTTCAGTGTTGGGTTTTTATTGTTTCACCGGCCGAGAACTCGGGAGATCAGGATGGGGGCGGTGTCCCTATGGCAGCCACGTCTGGCATCTCCTTAGCAGCAGTGTCTCCATGGCGACCGTGTCTCTATTGTGGTACATTTCTCCACAGAGAGCCCAGAGACGACACCACACACACGCGCGCTGGGCACATTTATTGATTTATTTTCAGTACTTTACAATTAAGAAAATACTAACTAATTATACGCACCCGCTGTTCCTAATTTGAGGGACAAAGCGAACCCCTGCCCCCCTGCCCCCCTGCCCTTCCCCTGCCGAACCCCCAAATCTAGAAGTCAAACTCCACCCATGCGGCACCAGCGCAATTGGATTTAACGCAAATAAAAAGGTTGCGCTGCTCACAAACGACAGCACGGCAAAGACGCCTGACACCGTACGCCATGCGCAGCGCTCTCCCAGCCTTGCCCAATCCACCAGCGTGTCAATCCCCCCCCCCCCTGTGCCCTCCCACCCCACAGCCAATCATCCAGCTGTTCGATGAGAGGGTGCAGAAGAACGCAGAGTGGATGTGCACCAACCCCCACTTCATCACAAAGCCCACCTTCCTGCTGCGCTTCAAGCTACGGCAGATCAAGCTGGTAAGCTCGCAGTTGGGGGACCGTATGGTCACGGACGGGAGGTCGCCATTTCCCAGAGGTTCGGGCAGCCGGGTGACTGAGCGGTTGAGCCGGCACCCCTGAGCTCGTGGGTTTGAATCCCGCTTGTCAGCCGCCTGGGATTGTTAAACCAGGTTCTCGGGCGGGTTGGCGATCTCGGCCCAGTCACCATTGACGGCACAAAAAACACCCGGCGCGTAAAATTTGGTTCTACATTAAACTTGCCGAAATTCCATCTCCGAGAATTAAAATCTCGGTTTTACTGGAAAAACAACCCGGCTAAGCCTGAGCGGCGCCGGGCTGTCTTGGCACGGCCCCGGCAGGACCCCGGCACGGCTCGGTCGTGCGGTGGGAAAAAAACGCCGACTGGCTGAGACGGACCTGGCTGGTTGACGGCACAGGGAGGTGATGGAGTTTGGGCTGCGCACGTTCGACGCGGAGGGGCTGGTGCTGTACGTGGAGCGCGGGCGGAGCCGCGAGCCCAACGAGCGCATGGTGCTGGCGCTGAGGAACGGCTCCCTGGAGGTGCAGCTGCAGATGAGCGAGAGCATGATCGTTACGACCGGCGGCAAGCCTATCAACGACGGCGCTTGGCACACGGTACAGCACACACCACGCTCCCAGCTCGCCGTGCCGTGAGGATATTTTTTGCCATAATTCGCCACGCCGGTCAGTGTGGCTTGGTGAAGCCAGGGGGCATGCAGTCACAAAGTTGGAGTGATTTGCTGCTCAAATGAGCGCTAAGGAGGTGCTCATCTCCTGTTTACGACCCTGAGACGGTGGTGGATGATCCACATTCCTTTTAAGATACATACTGTGGAATTCCCCATGCCGAGGTATTCATTTTATCATCCCTAGAAGGATGATGATGATGGGCTCGGTCAAAGCCCAACCAGCATTTGACCTCGAAACATTCCGATTGCTAGCTCAACCGCCAAGCCAATCGGCTGGATCGCAGCGCAACAACGGATGTTGCCGCCGTGTCCTGTGCTGGCCGGCACGTCGCCACCGCAGCAGCCTTTAGCAACCTGCCGTGTGTGGTGTTGTGCCCATTCCGGGAGCCAGGTCTCGGTGGAGCGGCCGACAGGGAAGATCATCGTGAAGCTGTCGGGGGAGGAGGTCATCAACATCAACACCCACTCGGCCGACGCGGGCTCCATCAGCTCCGACATCCTCATCTCCATCGCAGGCCTCCCCACCGACGAGCACACGCTGATGAAACCTGTACGGCACGTGCACACGCGCACACACGTGTGCATACACAAAATCAAACTTTCTTTATACTGGAGGAATCCGATGAGCTATAAAGCTCTTTTTCACAGATGTCCAGTCGGGGCGGGTAGGAATGTTACAACAACAAAGTACACAAACATGATAGGAGTGCAAAGTACAAGAAAGGTAAACAAATCACCCAAACACACATAAATCAAACTAAAGCATACCCACGCACTTGCACGTACACGCGGTCATACGTAATCATACATACAGGCCAAATTCGTATATCACACGCAAAGACACGGGGCACACGCACACGCGTGCACTGGCTCGCACACAAACGCACTTCCGTGCTCATGAAACCCGTACGGCCTCGCACAAGGTACTGCCCCCTGCTGTGCGCACTACATTGCGAGAGATGGGAATGTGATGCCGATAGCGCAATTACACGGCAATTTGGTTGACAGAATTTTGTACAACAAAAAACTGAACTTATATATTCAATGACAAATTCGATATACGGCATCTTAAATTGGCATTTACGGGATTTTTCATCCGTAGATTATATTTGTGGGAAAAATCAAACAACGCGGGGGTGGGTGTGTGTCGTCTGACCTCGCGAGCATTCCGCGCAGCTCCGGGCGGCTTGAGCAGCGTGCTGCTCGCACTCTACTACGGGGGTCCCACGCTCCCCGGGCCGTCGCCCCAACTCGGCTCCTGTCAACTCGGTCCTTTGCGTTGATCCCGCCTGGCACCGCACTCGGCAGGATTTTGCATTTTTATAATGATCTTGTTTTGATGTTAGTTGAGATGTCTGCAGGGAGGCCATTTAAGGTGCAAGTGGTAGTAGAAGTGCAAAAAGAGACTGAAGCCATTACCTTGGATGTGAAGTACTGTATAGTATTTCCGACAGACCTGTTCTTCACCTGAGGACGGCTGCTTGTGTTGTGGCCGAAACGTCGTGAGAATTATTTTATTATGTTTTATTTTTATTATTTCCCTTCTACGTGACTTTACCGAAAGAACCAAGAAGAGGAGTATTAAAGTATTAAAATATTATAAAATAATGGAAATCAAATGGTTCGAGGTACGGAATTTCGCTTTGCATACACATTTTCAGGAACGTATCTGTTCCGAATATCAAGGGATGCCCGTATTGTGTGTATATATTATTTTGTAATTAAAAGACGCCGCTCCTAACGATCTGGCCGTGCTGTCGCTGACTCCACTCCCCTCCCACGTGGGTGCGCGTGGGCAGCTGAACGTGCACCTGGACGCGTGCATGCGCGACTGGAGCTGGCTGGACCAGGACACGAGCTGGATCAAGGAGGAGACGTCGGGCGACAAGATGCGCCAGTGCTTCTCCAGCGTGGAAAGAGGGGCCTACTTCCCAGGGACCGGCATGGCGTACTTCAACCGCAGCTTCTGTACGCGCCAACTTGCCGGCCGCATTTAACGCTTCCGCACGAAGGTTGAACGCGTCCGTAACTGGGGAGCGGGGGAGAGATGTGGGGGGGAATAACGCTCGTAACGACGATCCGGTCTGAATGGATCTGGAGTATAATTCGCGTCGCCCTTTGCGATTTATCCTCTCGAAGACCGGGCTCTCTGAGCAAATGACCGCTCCTAAACACGGACACTCAAGCAAGCACATAAAGGGCCGCTCGGTAAACGTACAATACGCATTGAGCCCCGACGGTGTCGCACGCTCCACGCATACGCACGCTTCTTGCTAACATTGAGAACGAGTGGACGATGCAAACATTCTGGCACGTGCCTACATTTGTGGAGAACGTAAATACACAAGTCACTGAGCCAGGGCGATGCGTGGCTGGCTCAAGCTTCTGATGTATGCGTCCCGACGGCGCGTGTGCCGGTGGCGTAGCTATTGAGTGCGCAGGCAGTGCAACTGCACTGTGGCCCACGGTGCCAGACGGGCCAAGGCACCGGGCTGCGAAAGAGGAAGACGGACGGGCGGCCACATTTCATTCCTAGAACCGGGGCTCGCGCCAACCGCGCTACACCAGCGGCGAATGCGCAGCGGCCGCTACGCGTGTCGTGACGATAGCGGTTTGTGTCAGTGTCTCCGGAGGGCGGTGACGGCTGGGAGTTGACCGTGGAGCTGTCCATCCGCCCCGCGGGAGACACGGGCATCATCTTCGCGCTTGCCAGCCCTCAAAACGACGAGGTTCCACTGTCCGTGTCGCTGGAGCACACGGCAAGGAACGAGTACATGCAGCCGACACAGGTAGCAGAGCGTCGCTCGCACGTGCTGCTGCCGCTGCTGCTGCGCAACAGCATCGCCCACCGCTGTATGGCTGATCACACTCTTGCTGCGTTCCCATGGCCACTGGGCAGCCTGTTTAATTACCCCAAACTTCAAGAGCCGAGCAGCTTCGTGAGCTTGGCCACTTCCTTCCGCCGGCTCCTACTCTGGCCAGAGGGGGAAGTGATTGTAAGTTTTCAGCGGTGTGATTTTATAAACTAAATATATGGGCCCGAAGTTGACTTGAGTTGGAGACGACATCGACCGTGATGTCATGATTGGTTCCGGGGATGGCCTAAATGGAAGGTGTGCAGCTCCGTTCGCAATGCAGAACACACTGCCCAGTAAAAGTGAGCTACGCGGGCTGGCCGGTGACCTCGGGAACGTGTTGGCATACTACCTGAAACCCCGAGCCTCTCGCAGGACTCTACCCAGCTTTTGGCCAAATTTCCACACCAACCATACGAACTGCACAAACGCTTAAAAACAAGCAGTCCGCAGACCCGGAGCCTCACTGGCGCGAGCCCCTCCCCAGTACGTGCAGGTGGCGCTGGGCGACGTGGTGGCGGCACGCTTGGAGGTGGCGGAGCTGACGTCGATGCAGAGCCCCACGTGGCAGAGCGTGGCGGTGCGCGTCTCCGCGACGGCGCTGACGCTCTCCGTGGACGGCGCCGAGGCGACGGGCACGGAGCAGTTCCTGCTGCCGCGCCTCGCCGCCCTGCAGGAGCAGCTGAGCCGACCCGTGGCCAAGTTCTTCGGCGGCCTCCCCGGTACACGTGGGCCGAGTGGGCTGGTGCACGCAAGGCACTCTCATTTGCCTGGTATACAAGTGCCCTGTCGTGCCCAGAAACTGGGTAGGGCCCAGAGACTCCAAAAGAGGCTGTAGACTCGGGCAGGGTCCGTGGACTAAGGGAGGTTTTTAAAAAGCACCCCGAAGTTGGTTTTGCTGTCCAAGTAAACAAAAGTTCAGAATGTTTTAGTTACGTTAGTATTGCATCTATGTGATTTATATAAGACCGATGTATGAAAGGTTAAATATATAATTTCAAAAAAACTAAGTCAAAAAGTATTTGGTCTTGAGTGAGCTTGCACGAGATGCACGTATAGGAAACGGCAGTATACCATAGCAGGTGAATTGCTGAATTGCTCAATGGTAATTCGTGACGATGGATCCAACCGTGGTGGGTACGAATCGCAACGCACGCGTACCAATTGGCGGCCGCTCGGTCTGTTGCGACCCATCCCTTAACGGAGACCCGCGTCTGCATTTTCCCCACCCGTAGACTCGGTGCCGCTGCAGGTGACGCCCGTCACGGCCTTCTTCCAGGGCTGCATCAGGGACGTGCGCCTCAACGGCGTCCGCGTGGAGCTGGACACGGCCGACTCTCTCTCCCCGGGCGTCACGTCTCACTCTTGCCCCCTGCTCCACTCCGAGATGCCCATCTACTTTTAGTAAATGCGTCCGTGCACAACTTGGACCCTTGCTTCGCCAAACGTTCCCCAAACATTCACGGCGCCCGACTGCAGGCTTTAACAATCCACTTTGCTATTCAAGGCGTACTTGCCGACGGTGCGGATTTAAGCGAAAGGCTGCCGATTTTTAAGCTCTGACAATCGATATGCCTTAGAAGGGTTTAAAACTTGACATCCTACCGTTCACATGGGCATAGGTGGCAAGTACGCAGCTTACTGCAGGCTTTAAAAATCCACTTTGCTATTTAATGTTACCAATAACCGTACAATCTGATGTAAAGGTGTGTGTGTGTGCGCGCGTGCACATGTGATTTTTTAAAAACATTTTATCTTAAATCTCTTCCTACGAGTACTTTGTGACTGAGTTAATCCGATTCGTGTGGTTCGCGTTCAGATGGCTACCGCAATAGAAAAGGCATCCCGATATTTACTCTTCCTCGCCCACGTGCACCCCAGCATGTCAAAGGCAGTTTGCACAATGCACCACTTCTCGATTTGCAAATGAGATTACACAGGAAATGTATTTCAGTGCAAGGTGATGGCCACTGAGACGACAGCGCAGCCAATTCCAAGGTTAGACTGTACTTCTATGCTTCTGTGGCATCGCTCCCCAGGTTCACCAACCAGTACTGACCAGTTCTTAATCTACCGTTGGTGTGCGTGTCATGGGGGTTACTTGACCGCACTGATTGTGTTCGTTGTCCTTCCCCCGCACCTCCGATTAGCACGGTTGGCGACGTACGGTGCGATAGAAGTTCAACTTGGTGAAAGTGGAGAGCATAAAAGTACATGGCAGCAGAGTGTTTGCTCCACTGCCCTCTGCTGCCCGCCACTAGTACCGCAGCAGCCTGTAGCAACCTGTTGTGCACGATGGTGTGGCGTGTTTCTCCGTCGTCAGAGAACACGTGGTGGTTTTAAGGGAACCAGTAGAGCAACAACCCCGGCTGCAATGACCACAACCTTAAGAGTTTTTAATTTGCTACTTGTACTGTATTTGTACAATGTCCAATGGGTGCCATTTCATAAGGGAACAAAAATGTTTTAAGCTTCAAGAGTTTTCATTAAAAGATATATATACCTTTTTCACCCTATGAACTATTAGCACCGATTAAGACACTGAATTTTTTATGTTACTGCTGTTAGATATGAGCACAGAACGGTGTGTTTTTTTTCACATGAATAAATGTATTGGAAATGTTACCACTGATGTATGTGTCGGTTTCACCTGCTCGTGGCAGATGGTGCGGTGCCAAGCGGCCCCAGGGATATCTGTGCCGCCCAGACTTACTGAGGTTACCCTCGCTGACATGAACCAAATCGTCAATTAGTTCGTACATCTTAAAGGCGGCAGGGTGGCGCTTGGGTAACACTCACGCCTCAGCCAAGAAGTTCCCGAGTTCACTTCCCACTCGGGTGCCTCCCGTGTGGGGTTTGAATGTCTCCTCGTGTTCTGCGTGGGTTCCCTCTGGGTTATCCGATTTCCTCCCATAGACAAAAAAAACCCACAATGTAATAGGTATTTCTTGATTTGAAACTTTCGTGACTGCGCCTCCCCCTTTTCTTACCTAAAAACCTCTTGCCACGGCAGCTCTCTCGCCTACTTCAGCATTTTTTCTTGCTGTGGTTATTCCACCTGATGAAGATTGCTTGTGTTGCGATCGAAACATCGTGATTCGTTTTATTTCTACCTACGTGACTTTACCGAAAGAACCAAAGAGTATGTAATTGGTATTGTTGACCAAACAGTCTCATGCTAAAAAAATTACTCATTTGGGATTAAACACCGAAAGAGCGACAGATGGCAGCGGTAAACACTGCTGACTACTAGGGGTCGGCACGGTTTGAACCGACTCAAACTGGTGTCAAATTGAGCAAACCAAACCAAACCAGCGACGATTGAACCAAACTAAACCAAAACCAAACCAAACTAAGCTAAACCAAACCTCTTGAGTTGGCTTGAACCGAAAAGATGCGCGGCAAACAATATTCGCATTCAATACAAATATCAAGTGTATTAATCGCTAATTTCTACGCAGGCTTTCTTCATATTGAGATTCACTAGCAAGTACTGGACGACGATGTCGTCCACAGCCATCTCCTCAAGCTTGGCACGCCCAATGTCCTTGAACGCAGTGTGGTAGTTCAATGGCAGTGAAACCCCAACACTAGGCAACATCCGCGCCCACGAGCGCACACACATCTCGGCCTTGAACGTGCACTTGTGCAGGTTTGGTCGGTCGAGAAAGGAGCGCTTGGCGGCCGAGTTTGCTCTCTCGGAGGGCACGGACGACGCCGGGATAGGCAAATAGTCGAGGGCCACGCGTCGTAGGCGCGGGTACTTGCCGCCGTACAGCTTCCACCACTCGACGACGTCCATGCTCAGGTCCTGAGTCGGCTCAAGCAGGAAGCGGTCGACCTCGGAGGCGGCGCCGTCGTGAGCGTTGGGCGCGTAGACCATGTCAAAGAGGATGTTAATGCCGCCACGCGGCGCCGCCTTCGGCGCCGCGTCCGTCGTCAACGCTGGGTAGCGCTGGTTGAGAATGTCCGTCATCATGTCCTTGATATTGCTGTACTCGGCCTTTACAACCAACCAAACTAGTTTGAGCCGGTTCCACCCTGTCCGAGCCAAACCGAGTCGGTTTTCGTAGCCCCAAACCAAACCGAACCGATTTGGTTCGGTTCAAACCGCGGTTTGGTGGTTTGAGCCAAACCGTGCCGACCCCTACTGACTACTGATGAGTCGTAATGAGGACGAAACCGGTCTCCGACTCTGTCTTTGTCTCACTGTTGCCGGTCGGTTTGGCCACATTTTCTCAACTTGTGAACGGCAGTCCCCGAAACAAAATGAGCACAATGCAGTTTTTTTTCTGAATTGGTGGTTTTCCCGTTCGTGCACAAGGCTAAATAAGAGCTTTTGATCCACAGGCCTCGTGTGATGTGCGGTACAGAGTGGGTACTCCAACCTCTTCCCAGACGGTCTGCTCAACATTGAATAGATCAAAAACACATTCCTGCGGAGGGAGCTGGTAGGAACGTTGGGTTGCTCGGTCAATGGCCTGCAGGGTCAACGGCGGCGTGGTGTATTCCGCAAATATGGCCGACTGTGAGGGCGGGCACAAGCCGGCGTGAGTAGGTTAAACGTTGAGTTTTATAAGGGCACCACGGGGTGACCAGCCCCTCCCCACCCAGCCCCTCCCTGCACGACGGACGGACACAATAATCCCCTGTGGGCTGGTGGAACCAGGAGGTTCTCTACTCTGACACTGGTGAGACTGGGCCCTAAAGAAGGCTGCTGTCTCTGGTGAAGACCAATCGGTTTCAAAGACAATGTTTCTCTAATTATATCAGAGCATGTTTGTTTGCATGCTCGCCACAAGTACTGTACGTGGTTAATGCGGACATGATTCCTTGCAAATTTTTCTATTTTGTGTTTGAACATATCAACACGTGTTGTATTGCCAGAAAGGGTAACATCTACTCTTATTTTTTTCGTAATCAAGAAGAATGCCACGTAGAATGGAAATAATAAAATAATAAAATACAACATTATAATTATACGTGACTTTACCGAAAGAACCAAGAAGATGAATCCCTGCAGTCATGAAAGCTTTAAATCGAAATTTAAGAAGAATGTCCTTCCCCTGCTGCAAATACGGATTCTATTTCGAGAACATGTCTTCTGATTCCAGCGAAACACCCCCCCCCCCCCTCTGTGTTGTAGACTTTCTCATCTAAACTCTACAACTTAAAACTTTTATATTACCAGGTAAAGCCCACCTGAGCTATTGTAGTTCAGAAGCGACCCGGCCACAAATGATGGCTCAACTAAGTGGCTTGTCGTGAGGACATGTTGTGGCGACCGTAAGATCGCAACGCGTGTTTCTGATGAGAAGAGCAACTGGCACGATTTGGACACACGTGGAGGATGGACAACAGGGACATTAAAAGTGTGGCGTTCGGAAAGACGGAAGAGACCGGAGAGAGAGGAGAGGAAGACCTAACAAAGAATGTCTTGACATGACGCTTTCGTGGCTGCAAGAATCCATACTATTTGGTTATTTCGGTAAAATGGAAATAATAAAATAAAAAAAATAAAACATAATAAAATAATTCTCACGACGTTTCGGCCACGTGTTCTGTCGAGAAGACAGAATCTGAGATTGGGAGAAATCCGGTTTAATTGGTTCTAATTGCAGAACCGCACTTTGCCAACTTCTCAACGACGGGCTTCATCCATTCCAAGCCAAGGAACTCACTGGCAGTGCCCACGATTGTGGAGGAGCTCCTCGTGTTCATCACGACCAACCTGCCCGCCGCATTCTACGACTACCCCGTGCAGCCCGACGGCCCCCCAGAGTACGATAGCAGCACCGACGAGGAAGCAGCCTAAGCCTAGGATCAGAGTTTCGTATTCATTAAACCAGGTTTTAATTCCCCGAAATAGGGTGTAATTGTATTAAAGAAAAATCCCGATGCCTGCCTGCGGTTTACAGCTTTGCACTCTAACAGCAGGCGGCGCTTTGGAGTCTTGAACTTCACGAAAGCTCCCGGCATGCACGGCGAGGGCGGAAACATCGCCCAGCCACGGCGGGACGAAGCCACGGCCGCCATCTTACCTCGGGGTAACTGCTGAGCCGCGACGAGGGACCCCGCGTCGCTGCTCGATGACGTCGCCCCCCGCGCCGGGGCGACACGGAAGCGGACGGCGCATTCAACCCGCCCCCTCCCTGACCAAGATGGCCGCCTAAGTGGGAGGGATGGAGAGGGTCACGCTCCCTGCCGCCACCGTTGCCGTAGCAACGGTGTATGCGCTGGTGTCGTTCCTCGGTCGTGGCCGTCGCCACGGACGGGGAGGAAGGAGGAGGAGGAGGTGGAGGAGGAGGTGGACAAGGAGGTGGAGGAGGAGGAGGTTGAGGAGGAGGTGGAGGAGGAGGTGGAGGAGGAGGAGGGGGTGGAGGGGGAGGCTGCCGGGGAGCTTCACCTGGAGTCGAAGCCGACCGGCTGTGAAGGCGCTCAAGGGTACCACTACTCCACGGGGGAGCCAGCAACACACTCACTCACTCACCACTCACCCACTCACTCACTCACTAACTCACTCACTTACCACTCACCCCTCACTCACTCACCCCTCACTCACTTACCACTCACTCACTTACCACTCACTCACCACTCACTCACTAACTCACTCACCCACTCACTCATTCACTCACTCACCCCTCACTCACCCACCCCTCACTCACCCCTCACTCACAGACCCCTCACTCACTCACCCCTCACTCACTCACCCACCCCTCACTCACTCACCCCTCACTCACTTACCACTCACTCACTTACCACTCACTCACCACTCACTCACTAACTCACTCACCCACTCACTCATTCACTCACCCCTCACTCACTCACCCACCCCTCACTCACCCCTCACTCACAGACCCCTCACTCACTCACCCCTCACTCACTCACCCACCCCTCACTCACTCACCCACCCCTCACTCACAGACCCCTCACTCACTCACCCCTCACTCACCCACCCCTCACTCACTCACCCCTCACTCACCCACCCCTCACTCACCCACCCCTCACTCACCCACCCCTCACTCACTCACCCACCCCTCACTCACCCACCACTCACTCACCCACCACTCACTCACTCACTCACCCCTCACTCACCCACCCCTCACTCACTCACCCCTCACTCACTCACCCACCCCTCACTCACTCACCCACCCCTCACTCACCCACCCCTCACTCACCCACCCCTCACTCACCCACCCCTCACTCACTCACCCCTCACTCACCCACCAACCACTCACTCACCCCTCGCTCACTAACTCACTCACTCCTCACTCACCACTCACTCACCACTCACTCACCCACCCCTCACTCCTCACTCACTCACCCACCTCTCCTCACTCACCCACCACTCACTCACCCACCCCTCACTCACCCCTCACTCACCACTCACTCACCCACCCCTCACTCACCCACCCCTCACTCACTCACTCACTCACCCACCACTCACTCACTAACTCACCCACCCACCCACTCACTCCTCACTCACCACTCACCCACCCCTCACTCACCCACCCCTCACTCACTCACTCACCCACCACTCACTCACTAACTCACCCACCCACCCACTCACTCCTCACTCACCACTCACCCACCCCTCACTCACCCACCCCTCACTCACCCCCCCACACCCCTTACTGAATACGCGCGGGGCCATCTTGCTCGGGGTTTGGCACGATCATTAAGAGATACAAAAATTATATTGAAATAATATTTACCACGATATTAACCGCGACGAGAGAGAGAGACACGTCGCAAAAGTGGCGGCATAACAGATGCAGGCTTACACAACGAGGACCACTTTGTATGAAATTCGACATTGGCTATTCTTTGGAAACGCTCGCCATATGAACGTGGAATTTCCACCTGGTTCAGGGCTATAAACGGGAGATTACCATTGCCACGATGCTCATTTGAGCAATCGCTTTGACATTTGAACTAATGTATTAATACTGATATAACTAAACTGCCAACTAGGATATGCATGTTACCTGCCTTTACATGTTACTATGTTTTCAACTGTTACTGTCAATGTGTAAGATCTCATCAGATCTCGAAAGCTCGGCAAATTTGAGTGTGGTAGTGCTTTCAACCGTACATAACAGGTTTTCACAGGCACTCGCAAAAATAAAATCTTACGATGTTGGCATTTCGCTGGGCATCTGTGGACAAACAGCTTTATAGCTCATAGGATTATCTTGCGGTATAAATAAATAATCAGATTCTGAGCTCCTGAACGTAGACGCAGGAAATTAATTCCAAATGTATTTATTATAATGTGGCCGATGAGTGTGGTGATGAAAATGGATGACGCAAAATCAATGAGACTCCTTTGGCCAGGAGAGGTAGACCGAGGACAGCGACGTTGAGCTGTTACTGCTCAACTCGTGGGCTCGAATCCAGGACATTGCTTGAGATTAAACAACGGGAAAATGTCAAAACTGGGTGGTTTTTAACTTTTGCCGACAAAACTGGATCCCAAATGTCAAAACTGGGTGCACCCTGGGTGGCCAAAAACTTGAGTTTTGGACACTCAGGGTGCACCCAGTTTTGACATTTGTCAAATACACTTGATAATTGTATACTAGCACAGTGTGCCAGCACCCCATTCATCCAAACACTTGGTATTTGTATACTGGCACACTGTGCCAGCACCCCATTCATCTAAACACTTGGTATTAGTATGCTGGCACAGTGTGCCAGCACCATATAACTACACACACTTGATATTTGTACGCTGGCACAGTGTGCCAGCACCCCAACGACCAACATTTCAAGCTACGGCTCGGACTCGGAAGTGAGCTCGGGGCGGGCTTGCGACCAGGCGGGCGCACTGCCACCTTGCGTGATGACCTAGACTAGTGACTCGCGTCAATACCAAACTTTTGGATTGTTGGTTGATGCTACGCGCTACTGTACACCCTTAAATTTGCCATGCATTCGACCATAGCCCGCCAAACGACCAAGCACAGAGACAAAGGCGACGTCCTTGGGAGATGGACCAGCCTGCTTGACGCTCCTGACCATGGTCCCAATGGTGCGGAACAAACCAACGAATGCGCATCTCGTTGATTGGTCAATCCTTTGGCCCACCGTTACGGTGATTGGCGGAAATATTGTGTGAAAAATCAAATTGCTGGCAATGAAAATAGACATTGTCTCGTGAAAAATTGAAAGTAGACGTAGAAACGTGATTTTTCACAAGCATTTTTCACGAAACAGGTGGAGGAGCGGCTCACATTCGAATGGCAACCCTCCACCCCAAGAAGACTTTTACCACGCGCCGCGAGGCCATCCACGGCATCCAAGACTTTGCTTTGCAACAAGGCAAGCGCGCGGTCCTTGACCTCAAGCGAAGCGGCGGACGGCACGTTGCCATCGTCTGCTCTAGTTCAACACCTTGTTCCTTCAAGGTGAAGCTGACGAAGCTCACGGGGGAACGACGCGGCTTCCGCGTCTCGGCGCTGTGCACGGATCACCACGGCTACACGGGCACTACCAAGATCACGCAGCGCCAAGTGGAGGCGAACACGACAGCCCGTTCGGCCTTTCGCGCTAACCCCCGTACCTCCGCACCGACTGTCATTGCCCAGGTCGCCGACGTTGCTCGCGTCATTGTCCCGACCCGGATGATGTACCGCGCCAAGGACACGTGCATCGCGGCGAACGAGAGTGCGGCCCGTGCAGGCTTCGAGTTCATCAACTCGCTGGTGGAGACGTTCGGCAAGCTCAACGCGACGACCTGCAGTGTGCGAGAAGACGCGGGCATCTTCTGGGGTGCGTTCATCTGCAACCCGATCGCACGCTCGTTGCAGCCAAGTCTTCAACGCGTCGTCGGCATCGACGGGTCGCACATGAAGGCGCGCGCCTACAACGGAACCATGCTCGTCCTCGTTGGGCGCGACGGCAACAACCGCAACGTCCTTCTCGCCGTGGCGCTGGTGCCGTCCGAGACGGCAGCGGCCTACGACTGGTTTCTCAACTGCTGCACGACCAACGACATCGAGCTCGACGGCACGCCGGTCTTCTGCGATCGTGGCACGGGCATCCTAGCCTCCGACTGGAAGGACCTCATGCTCATCCACTACACGCGGCATTTGATCTGCAACGGCGTGGACAACATCGGCTCCGCGTTCACGCCCGACCTCCAAGGCATCATCTACGATGCCCAAGGGTGCGCCTCCGAGGCCGCGTTCCGCAGCTCCTTGGGCTGCTTGGGCGTAGCTCTGCCTGCGGCGGCCACGTACTACAACAAGATCGACCCCCACACGTGGGCGCTCTATCCGCACCTGCACACGACGTCATTGTACGGCTGGCGCACGACGAACTTTGTGGAGTCCACGAACAGCGAGGCCCTGCCGGCTCGCGAGATGGACCCCTTCCACTTCCTCATGCACCACATGGAAGACATGATGACGACGGCCTTTGCCCACCGCAGCGACGCCGAGAAGTGGGCCGTTCAAGGGCGTGTCATTACGCCGTACGCTCAAGGACTCATCGACGCTCAGCAGGCGTTGGCCCCGAGGTACAAGGTCTACGAGAGTACCTCGACGCGTGCATACGTCAAGGATCCAGACGCCTACGCCTCTGCCAAGCGCCGAGTCGATCTCAGCTCTCGGTCGTGCACGTGCGGGTACATGAAGCAGATGGGCTTGCCGTGTCGGCACTACATTCGTGCCCTCATGGCGTTTGGGCGGATGCCCGAGCTCTACGACGCATGTGCGGTGTGTTACCAAGTCTCTGCCATCAACACGACATGGACCTCGGTTGCCGGTATCGAGCTGCCCATTGCCGAGGAGCTGCAACGCGACAACACCATGATGCCACCTCCTCGCCAGAAGAAGGCTGGCCGCCCGAAGAAGCGTCGGATTCGCAACCGTGGCGAAGGTGGCCCATTGGGCCTCACGCGGTGCTCCTTCTGTCGCGCCAAGGGCCACAACAAGCGTTCTTGCCCGTCGAAGTAGTTATATATATGTAACAAACATGTTTTGTTCTAAGTGTGCAGCACCATACTTCTCGACGCAAACACTATCTACCGTTGTTCTACTGTAGTAGGTGTAGCATGCAAGCTGGCACACTGTACCAGTATACAAATGGCAAGTTCGTGTATGTTCGCGAGCTGAAAGTGTTACTGTAGTTGCAAGCTGGCACACTGTGCCAGTATACATATGGCAAGTAAGTGTTACTGTAGTAGCGAGCTGGCACACTGTGCCAGTATACAAACGGCAAGTAAGCGAGCTGGCACACTGTGCCAGTATGCAAACGGGAAGTTTGTGGTGCAAGGTATGGAACATGAGCCACGAGAAACATCATTTGGAACGCTCTAAATCTGTGGTGACATATGGATGAATAACGCAAGGACCTAAACGTGTACAAAATGATACATTAAATCGTACACCTTCACCCAGTTTTGACATTTGTCCACATTGAACATCACCCAGTTTTGTCATATCAAAAAGCACCACCCTGTTTTGCCTGTCGTTTTCCAAGACCACCCAGTTTTGACATTTGGGATCCAGTTTTGTCGGCAAAAGTTAAAAACCACCCAGTTTTGACATTTTCCCATTAAACAACTAACTGTTTAACACGTAAACTTTCGCGACCAATATCATCCAGAGTTTTTTGGGTTAGATCGCGTAAATATATAAATGTGTCGTTAAAACCCGCCACCACCCGACACAGCCAACTAGTAAGGGTTGTCACGTAAACAGAACGTGGCCAATTTGTCACTAGTACAGCACTAGTGTGTAGTGTATAGTGTAGTATACTAGTACAACACTAGTGTATAGTGTAGTGTATAGTGTAGTGTATAGTGTAGTATACTAGTACAGCACTAGTGTATAGTGTAGTGTATAGTGTAGTAGATAGTGTAGTATACTAGTACAGCACTAGTGTATAGTGTAGTGTATAGTGTAGTGTATAGTGTAGTGTATAGTAGTGTATAGTGTAGTGTATAGTGTAGTATACTAGTACAGCACTAGTGTATAGTGTAGTGTATAGTGTAGTATACTAGTACAGCACTAGTGTATAGTGTAGTGTATAGTGTAGTATACTAGTACAGCACTAGTGTATAGTGTAGTGTATAGTGTAGTATACTAGTACAGCACTAGTGTGTAGTGTATAGTGTAGTATACTAGTACAGCACTAGTGTGTAGTGTAGTGTATAGTGTAGTATATAGTGTAGTATACTAGTACAGCACTAGTGTATAGTGTAGTGTAGTATACTAGTACAGCACTAGTGTAGTGTATAGTGTAGTATACTAGTACAGCACTAGTGTGTAGTGTAGTATACTAGTACAGCACTAGTGTAGTGTATAGTGTAGTATACTAGTACAGCACTAGTGTATAGTGTAGTGTATAGTGTAGTATACTAGTACAACACTAGTGTAGTGTGTAGTGTATAGTGTAGTATACTAGTACAGCACACCGGTGTGTTGGAGAGCCAAGCCACAACATTTACAATCTGAGTACGACGTTTCGCCAGTAATTACAACTAGCTTCATCAGGCGACAGCCAGTCTTACTGTTTCGTTCCTTCTATAGAGGCGTAGATGTGTTGACCACGCAACTGCGCTCTTGCACAATGTGGGGGGGGGGGGGGGATTACTGAGGCAACGTCCATTATGCATGTGCATTATGCGAGCCCTTTGAACTTGTCCTTCCTGTCTATTGTGTTTATTAAAATATCCGTACCAACGGTAATCCCTATTGAAGTACGCTGCCCTTTGTAGGCATGCACTTAAACAATGTATTATTTGATGATTTGCTTCCACGCAGCACTAAGGCGGCAGCTATCCGAACGGTTAAAGTAATTTTTATTTCTTTCAATTTCGATAGACTGTCAGAAAGTCGTGTTCTGGTACTGTTGACAGAACTGTCAGCAGTAGCAGAACACGCGTGCCAACAAGGACACTAAAATTATTTTGATAATGTTGAAGTTTTGTGCAAAATTAGCTACTACTGGCCAATACTAATTATAGAATCGATCCGAGTGGATACTTCATCACATGACATGACGCCGAGAGCACATTTGGGATAATATTGTGTAACTTGCCACACAAAAGATTCTTGTGAGCAGGCACACCTGACTGCACTGACTGGAGTGTCCTGCTCCCGCTGTGAAGGCTTGGCTGCCCTGCCCGACTATGGTGGGGAAGATCAAGAAGAGCGGTGCAAATGCGAGGCGAGGAAAAGGAGGCAGGGCGGCAGGAGCGGCAGACGCTGGCGTCGTGCTGAAGAGATTCCTGCGCACGTACGACAAGCACTGCGCCGCCACGGAGAGCACGCCCAGCGCGCCACTGCGTCTCGTCCTGAAGACGCACGCTGACGCGGGTACGCTCGTTAACAAGGTGAGTGGCCGGTGGCCTCGATGTGAACGTGAACGCGGTCTCGTGCGTGTGCCGCCCGGCAGTCTCGTTGACCGCCGGCGATGTGTCAGTTTGTTGTAGCACAAGCAGAGGGGAGTGTCGGACCCTCAGTCCTGCTCCAGCCTTTGCTTTTGGCCATCCGAGATGAGCGCTACATGCAAGGGAAGGAGCTCTGCGTCTTGGACGTTCCGCTCAGCAACCAGGACGTCGCTGAACTGGTATCGTTACAAAGTGCGCTTGTACCAACGCGTTGTTTCACATTCGTGTGGGGGTTATGTTGGAAGTGGATTTAGAATGGTGTCCTATTATTCTTTTCTTTTTTAAACAACCTGGATTTTACGAATAACTGTATCCACAAGCCATTCATTTCAGCCTAGTCTCTCCGGAACTGCAACCCAAAAAATATTTCCGCACCTGGCACACCACATCCAGCATACCTCTCACTATAGTTTCGGTTACAAATCAGATACCTACTGCAGTCTACCCGTGACCCAGAACATATTCATACTCTGTGGGTCTTTCGGTAAAGTATTCAGTGATACATTAGGCCCCACGTACACATGTGCAGCCTCTGTGTGCGTGTGAACTTTTCCTATCAGTCCTTGCTCCTGGAGATGCGGGGCAAGACGTGGTACCCGTTTGCGCGTCTCGTGCTGTCCGACTGCGCGCTGGACGTGTGGTCGATGGGGCGGCTGGCCCGGGCCCTCAGGACCAGCATTCTAACTCACCTGCATCTCGACTACAACAAGTACGCTGTGTGTTCTCCACTCTGCCGTTGCCCGCAGGCACACATCAAACACGTTGTAAATGAGATTCATACCAGCCTTCTTCCCGGCTTGTTTCCCACTCATATAGGCTCTGCTTTTCTAGTCCTCTTTCTCCACTCATTCCTGTACTGGGCCATCATCTCCACATCTATTACACAGTCCTTCATATCCTGGCTCACCACTTAAAACCACCCATTTCTAGGCCTGCCCTGGTGCTTCCATGTTCATCACCTTTCTTCCAAAGTGGTTTTCCTCTCTTATTCTTTGGGTCTTTCTGTAAAGTCACGTAGATAGGTTAAAAGAAAATAAGAAAAAACTACGACGTTTCGATCGCAACACAAGCGTTCGTCATCAGGAAGAGGGGGTTAGCTTCTAAAGGCAAACTGTTTATAAAGGTTTGAAATGGGCGTAGCCCAAATGTCAGCAGCCAATGTTAATGTAAGTGGTGGGTAGTGACCGCGACGGTGGTGGGTTTTCCCACCAATCAAAGGGCTGCCCAGTAAAAATTTGCATGTTAATGTAAAATCGTTGAGCTGCCTCCACGGCCAGCGCCCTGAGGTGGCTATGTTAATGTGAGAGATTAGCATGTTGATGTAAGAGATGAGCATGTTAATGTGAGAGATTAGCATGTTGATGTGAGAGATTAGCATGTTAATGTGAGAGATTAGCGTGTTAATGTGAGAGATTAGCATGTTAATGTGAGAGATTAGCATGTTGATGTGAGAGATTAGCATGTTAATGTGAGAGATTAGCATGTTAATGTGAGAGATTATCATGTTAATGTGAGAGATTAGCATGTTAATGTGAGAGATTAGCGTGTTAATGTGAGAGATTAGCATGTTAATGTGAGAGATTAGCATGTTAATGTGAGAGATTAGCATGTTAATGTGAGAGATTAGCATGTTAATGTGAGAGATTAGCATGTTAATGTGAGAGATTAGCATGTTAATGTGAGAGATTATCATGTTAATGTGAGAGATTAGCGTGTTAATGTGAGAGATTAGCATGTTAATGTGAGAGATTAGCATGTTGATGTGAGAGATTAGCATGTTAATGTGAGAGATTAGCGTGTTAATGTGAGAGATTAGCGTGTTAATGTGAGAGATTAGCATGTTAATGTGAGAGATTAGCATGTTAATGTGAGAGATTAGCATGTTAATGTGAGAGATTAGCATGTTAATGTGAGAGATTAGCATGTTAATGTGAGAGATTAGCATGTTAATGTGAGAGATTAGCATGTTAATGTGAGAGATTAGCGTGTTAATGTGAGAGATTAGCATGTTAATGTGAGAGATTAGCATGTTAATGTGAGAGATTAGCATGTTAATGTGAGAGATTAGCATGTTAATGTGAGAGATTAGCATGTTAATGTGAGAGATTAGCGTGTTAATGTGAGAGATTAGCATGTTAATGTGAGAGATTAGCATGTTAATGTGAGAGATTAGCATGTTAATGTGAGAGATTAGCATGTTAATGTGAGAGATTAGCATGTTAATGTGAGAGATTAGCATGTTAATGTGAGAGATTAGCATGTTAATGTGAGAGATTAGCATGTTAATGTGAGAGATTAGCATGTTAATGTGAGAGATTAGCATGTTAATGTGAGAGATTAGCATGTTAATGTGAGAGATTAGCATGTTAATGTGAGAGATTAGCATGTTAATGTGAGAGATTAGCATGTTAATGTGAGAGATTAGCATGTTAATGTGAGAGATTAGCATGTTAATGTGAGAGATTAGCATGTTAATGTGAGAGATTAGCAGTTAATGTGAGAGATTAGCATGTTAATGTGAGAGATTAGCATGTTAATGTGAGAGATTAGCATGTTAATGTGAGAGATTAGCATGTTAATGTGAGAGATTAGCATGTTAATGTGAGAGATTAGCATGTTAATGTGAGAGATTAGCATGTTAATGTGAGAGATTAGCATGTTAATGTGAGAGATTAGCATGTTAATGTGAGAGATTAGCATGTTAATGTGAGAGATTAGCATGTTAATGTGAGAGATTAGCATGTTAATGTGAGAGATTAGCATGTTAATGTGAGAGATTAGCATGTTAATGTGAGAGATTAGCATGTTAATGTGAGAGATTAGCATGTTAATGTGAGAGATTAGCATGTTAATGTGAGAGATTAGCATGTTAATGTGAGAGATTAGCATGTTAATGTGAGAGATTAGCATGTTAATGTGAGAGATTAGCATGTTAATGTGAGAGATTAGCATGTTAATGTGAGAGATTAGCATGTTAATGTGAGAGATTAGCATGTTAATGTGAGAGATTAGCATGTTAATGTGAGAGATTAGCATGTTAATGTGAGAGATTAGCATGTTAATGTGAGAGATTAGCATGTTAATGTGAGAGATTAGCGTGTTAATGTGAGAGATTAGCATGTTAATGTGAGAGATTAGCATGTTAATGTGAGAGATTAGCATGTTAATGTGAGAGATTAGCATGTTAATGTGAGAGATTAGCATGTTAATGTGAGAGATTAGCATGTTAATGTGAGAGATTAGCATGTTAATGTGAGAGATTAGCATGTTAATGTGAGAGATTAGCATGTTAATGTGAGAGATTAGCATGTTAATGTGAGAGATTAGCATGTTAATGTGAGAGATTAGCATGTTAATGTGAGAGATTAGCATGTTAATGTGAGAGATTAGCATGTTAATGTGAGAGATTAGCATGTTAATGTGAGAGATTAGCATGTTAATGTGAGAGATTAGCATGTTAATGTGAGAGATTAGCATGTTAATGTGAGAGATTAGCATGTTAATGTGAGAGATTAGCATGTTAATGTGAGAGATTAGCATGTTAATGTGAGAGATTAGCATGTTAATGTGAGAGATTAGCATGTTAATGTGAGAGATTAGCATGTTAATGTGAGAGATTAGCATGTTAATGTGAGAGATTAGCATGTTAATGTGAGAGATTAGCGTGTTAATGTGAGAGATTAGCATGTTAATGTGAGAGATTAGCATGTTAATGTGAGAGATTAGCATGTTAATGTGAGAGATTAGCATGTTAATGTGAGAGATTAGCATGTTAATGTGAGAGATTAGCATGTTAATGTGAGAGATTAGCGTGTTAATGTGAGAGATTAGCATGTTAATGTGAGAGATTAGCATGTTAATGTGAGAGATTAGCATGTTAATGTGAGAGATTAGCATGTTAATGTGAGAGATTAGCATGTTAATGTGAGAGATTAGCATGTTAATGTGAGAGATTAGCATGTTAATGTGAGAGATTAGCATGTTAATGTGAGAGATTAGCATGTTAATGTGAGAGATTAGCATGTTAATGTGAGAGATTAGCATGTTAATGTGAGAGATTAGCATGTTAATGTGAGAGATTAGCATGTTAATGTGAGAGATTAGCATGTTAATGTGAGAGATTAGCATGTTAATGTGAGAGATTAGCATGTTAATGTGAGAGATTAGCATGTTAATGTGAGAGATTAGCATGTTAATGTGAGAGATTAGCATGTTAATGTGAGAGATTAGCATGTTAATGTGAGAGATTAGCATGTTAATGTGAGAGATTAGCATGTTAATGTGAGAGATTAGCATGTTAATGTGAGAGATTAGCATGTTAATGTGAGAGATTAGCATGTTAATGTGAGAGATTAGCATGTTAATGTGAGAGATTAGCATGTTAATGTGAGAGATTAGCATGTTAATGTGAGAGATTAGCATGTTAATGTGAGAGATTAGCGTGTTAATGTGAGAGATTAGCATGTTAATGTGAGAGATTAGCATGTTAATGTGAGAGATTATCATGTTAATGTGAGAGATTAGCATGTTAATGTGAGAGATTAGCATGTTAATGTGAGAGATTAGCATGTTAATGTGAGAGATTAGCATGTTAATGTGAGAGATTAGCATGTTAATGTGAGAGATTAGCGTGTTAATGTGAGAGATTAGCATGTTAATGTGAGAGATTAGCATGTTAATGTGAGAGATTAGCATGTTAATGTGAGAGATTAGCGTGTTAATGTGAGAGATTAGCATGTTAATGTGAGAGATTAGCATGTTAATGTGAGAGATTAGCGTGTTAATGTGAGAGATTAGCATGTTAATGTGAGAGATTAGCATGTTAATGTGAGAGATTAGCATGTTAATGTGAGAGATTAGCGTGTTAATGTGAGAGATTAGCATGTTAATGTGAGAGATTAGCATGTTAATGTGAGAGATTAGCATGTTAATGTGAGAGATTAGCATGTTGATAGAAGACCACAGTAAAACCTTGGATAGCGAGTAACTTTGTCTGCGAGTGTTTTGCAAGACGAGCAAATTTTTTAAATAAATATTAATTTGATAAACGAGCGAGGTCTTGCAATACGAGCAGTACGTGTATACGCTTTGTCTGCCGAGCGTCACGTGATCACAACTGATATATACGAGTGCTTTGGATTACAAGCACGTTTCCGAAACGAATTATGCTCGCAATCCAAGGTTTTACTGTATATAATTTCTCTATGTTTTATCCGTGCCTTTTTTAAAATGCATGCCAGTCTGTCAAAGCAAACTCACTGCATGTCCTCTCACTGCCCTGCTCACTGCCTGTTCCCCTTGTGCCGTCGCCGTAGGATCGGAGACACCGGTGCCCTTGCGTTGGTCCAGGGCTTAGCCGGAAATGCCCAGATGCTGTCCCTGAGCCTGTGCTACTGTGGGCTGGGCCCGCCCAGCGGCGCACCCCTGGCCTCCCTCGTCACCAGCACCGCCATCGTGTGAGTGGGTGTAGGGCCATCGTGTTCATCTGTCGACGATGAGACGGCAGGGTGTGGCTGACGAGGCTAGGTGGCGGTCCAACGCACAGCCTGGCAATGTATGTATGTATTCTAGATTTGAAGCTTTCGTGACTGCAAGGATTCATATTCTTAGGTGTTTTCGGTAAAGTCACGTAGGTAAAAAATTTAAATTTAAATTAATAAAAGTAAAATTATTTTATTTTACTTTTATTAATTTTAATTTTTTACCTACGTGACTTTACCAAAAAAACCTAAGAGTATGTATGTATGTTGAATTTCTTTCGCATCGTACGTAGCCAGCCGTGCTAATCTGAGGTTCTGCTGCAAGGCTGCCACTGCGTCACGGGCCTGCAGGTGTCACGTACTCTTCGTGTGTGTGACGAGGCCCTCGTGATTGTCACTGCACTCGGCCAGCAGAGGGAAGCGCTGCACAGGCAGTGGCCTAGAAGATGGCCTACATCATAACACTTACAAAAAATCCTAGCTTGCAAAAAATATCTTCATTTCTCAACCATGTGTAGGGCGAAGTCGCTGTGTTACTCAGCAAGGGAAGTCAAGAGTGGTTTTCCTGTAGGTCGACTTGTCCCCGTCATAGGAATGTGCAATTTCCACCACTGGCTGAGGACTGCAAACGTGCTGAGCTACGCCTCTGTGCTCATTTGACCAGGAAATCTCTTTGACTTCTTGACTCGATTGTAAGGGCTGGTGGTAAGTGGCGTGCAATGTTGGCTCGTGCGTCTCAGCGAGGTGTATCTGGATGGCAATGACCTGCGGTGCGAAGGGGCGACGGAGCTCGTCCGGCCACTCGTGGAGCACGCGGAGCGTGTAGCTGCCACTCGTCCACGCCTGGATGTAGGGGACGGTGAAGACCTGGCCAAGCAGCTGCTTGATGGTGAGAAACCCTCACCGCTAAGCAGTGATCACACATGATGACTGCAAATCTATTAGGGGAGCATTTGTAGGTGAACCTGATCTCGACGTTACGTGTTGATTTTAGATGTGGCAACTCGGATAAGGAAACGCACGCTTTCAACAAAGTGATTCACAGTGACAGAACACTTTTAGCGAAAATTTAATTGGATAAATAAATGCATAAATATGAATGGATAGATCGTGGCTGCTGATCATACGTACATACAGGACGTACTTGAGTGTCATTGCATGTTATGGTTTTTAGGTAGCATTTGTCATTTACAAGCCCTTGTTTGTAATAGGAGTGCAGGCAGTGCCAATGCTAGATGACACTGTCACTAGCCAGGCCCAGCCCTTCCTCAGCAACCAGTTAACTGCCCAGGCATTGCTTCACTGCGTCTGCCCCTTGGGAAGCGGGTGGCAAAGTCATAACACTTAGTAAAAAGGTTCTAGGTTCGATTCCTGACTGGTGCCTGTTTGTGTGGCCTCTGTATGGTCTCCCCCTGTTCTGCATGGGTGTCCTCTCGGTTCATGCGGAAGTAAAAAATGCACAAAGTCACTGGCGTTAGATAACCATCCCAATGCAAAGCCCTCCGGAAAAAAAAGAGTCTTCAGACTCAGTGAATATATCAATATAAATGTGTCATTAAACCCGCCATCACCCAACACAGCCAATTCGTAAGATTTGTCACGTAAATAAAACATTCCAATTCGTGACTATTACAGCACATCGGTGTGTTGGAGAGTAAAATCCACAAAATTTACAATCCCCGAGTTCACGACGTTTGGCCGGTAATTGCAACTAGCATCATCAGGCGACAACCAGATTTGTGGAGAAATCCTCCTGTTTCATTCTTAACGAAACAGGAGGATGTATGCGATCTAACCCAAAAGACCTCTATTATGGATAATATTGGTCGTGAAAGCCTACATGTTAAATTGACTAACCTATATGGGGAGGATACTTATCTTCAAATTATGATTCCTGTCTGTTGCATTCCCTAGCACCGGACAAATCGGGCGTGCGGTCAGCTGTGTCGCTACTGGACGAGGGTGAGCAGCCGCCGCAGGTCCCGGTCGACCCCAGCGGCAGCTCCATCGCGAAGCCGAAGCGGAAGAAGAAGTCTAGGAGAGGTAGCGTGACGCCCCCATCTCCGACAACACAGGAACCTCCAAATTGCGTCGCATTTAGACACCGTGTAAATAGACGTTATATAAATTAGAATTGTGTATGGAGCCAAAGCAGTGTTCACAGTGTGTGTATTCATACCGCACCATGAAAAACACAGGGCTCGGGTTACCAGCTAAAAAAAGAGCCGATGTTGAAATCATGCTGATGCGATAGGAACTTTGATTAAAGCAATGTGTGGGCTAACTGTTACGCATGCGTAGCGAAGCATTGTTTCATTGGTTACTAAAGTTTTACGCACGCAATACTTGCAACCAATGGTGTGTGTAGGAATCGGTCATATTTTTTATTTGTGCGTAATAGGGTCACATGACCCCTACGGTCACGAGCGGCTCTCCACCACGATTGGAAACATGAATGTGGAATATCCTCCGTAATCAAATCGCGGCAAACGATTTATGGCAATTGAACTGCAAAGTGGGCAAATGATTGGATTTCTGGTTACGAGTGATTTTAATTTACAGGCCTCTGAGCAATTCACCCAGAATGCACCCTACACCGTGAGATCTTGGAAGATAAGCAGGTTTGAGCTTGGCTAGTGCTTGGATGGGTTGTTTATAGGCCGCCGTGGGACTCTGTGATGGACAGCAGAGGGCAGTGCAGCAAAATCCATTGTTGTGTTCCACTGCTGTGCTTCCACATCTACGCTCTCTACCTTCACCAACGCACACTGCCTGGCATGGTGAAGTACGGTGAAATAAACCCTTCGACCCGCACTCCGTTGGGAGGCCCTCGCCCACCACCACCGGATTGACATTGGTGTGTTGTACGCGTGCATGCGCATGATAGTGACCATGTGCCGCACGCGTGTTAGCTGAAGTCTGCGACGGTGACGTCCGTGAACGTGCAGGGGCTCGGAGGAAGAAGAAGGGCCCTGAGAAGGCTGAGGTGGGGCCCTGGCTGCGCAAGCTGCACCTGTCAGACAACGGGATTGACGGGCTGGGCGCAGGCAGGCAGACGGCACCGCTCGACTTCTCGATGTTGCTCGCCAGGTGAGGAGGCCACTGCCAACGACGGCGGCACGGCTATCGAGCGTGCACGCATGGCGGGCGGCAACGGCACCGGGGCCCGCGGCTCACGGAGGCCCCGGCGGCAGGCTACGGAGAGGAAGGGAATTGGACAGGTGGTCCACGTTTCATGAATTGTTCCAAGACCTATGGCAAATACGCTACGTCACCGCCACCACCCGCTCAACCATGCGCACCCCTCCTTGGGCACAGCAGGTACTGGGCATGGAATGATTCATCGATTACAAACGATTCCATGCTGATGCATCGTGCATGTGAGAATGGATTGTTTGATTATTTTTAGGTGTACGTGATTGGTACTATAATGTTCCATAAACCACTATTAAAATATAATTGCTTCTGGAATTGAATCGTGACCCTGAGTAATAGCAATCCATCCGATTGCGGGGAGGTGAATTTTTACATACCGAGTGGCTGTACAAGGCCGCGGAGAATAAATGTTTTTATTAATTTATCCAAGATAACAACAATGAGTCTCAAGACTCTTCGCCAGGAGGTTCCTGCATTGGGAGGTTTGTCCCAATCCTCTTGGAGGCGTATTCTGCTGCATACCGGAATCCATGTCACAGCCTGTGCCTGAAAGAGTTCCGGCCCGCTGTGGTAAAGCAGGCAGTGGCTTTGCGAGTGACGGCAATGTGTGGGTTCCCTGTGTCTCACAACACGATCGCTTACCTGCTCCAGCAGCAATCGGGGGGGTGCGATTGCAGTGGTCCACGTTGCCTGGTGTCAAGCGTTGGCCCCTGAGGCACCACCTTTGTCAACTCGACAGGTTGATCCGCCTGTCCGACGCCCTGCAGGAGCTTGACCTGGACGACAACGACGTGGGGGAGCTCGGAGGACGGCAGATCCTGGAGGCGCTAAAGCAGCGGAAGGAAGGTGCCGAGCGACAACATGCGGGGTCGTGTGTAGCCGTCGTTATTAATATCGTTGTGAAAGATGCTTTTTTCAGGAGGGTCCTGCCGCGTCTTCGCAGGAGGGAGGCGATATTGTTGTTACGCGCAATTCCAACTGAGTACTTTGTAGGTGAATTTTCACATTTTGTGTGGATGTTAATTCGCTATGAGAAGAAACCGGAGAGAGCCTGGTGGAAACCCATGCAGATCAGGGGGGAAACATACAAACACCACACGTAAATGTGCCTCCTGTCGGTAATCGAACCCAGGCCCTCGCCGCGATGCACGAGCGTCACCACTGTGCCACCCTTGTGGCCGGTGGAAGAGTTTCTCCTGCAGTCCTGAAGGCATTGTGTGAGCGACCACTTTTGACCTCATCAGGTTTAGCCAATGAATGTAAACTACATTCCATATGAGTGATATGAAGCCTTCTGAGGCTTTGACTTCCACCACCCGGTCACTTTGGCCACTTAAAATATGTTCCCATTTGGTGTAAACGGGGTGGGCACTTGTGAGGTTGTACATAGTTCATCAATAGCATCGGTCCCTGGTTCCTTCTGGTGAGAATGAGCCCTGACTGGTCTTTCAGTCCAGTGAGGTTTCCTCTGTGTGAGGCTTGTTGTACACTGCAGATGTTGATCCACACGGCTACATTGTTGCATGTTATTACTACGCTTGTTTACCAGGAAAGCCTCACTGGGTCTCATGATTTTCTTTCAGGAGGCTTCTGCCAAGTTGTTCAGAGTAATGGGGGGGGGGGGGGGTGATGATCACCGCGTTTGTTTTCAAGGAGTCACTTTGTCCCTTCAGCAAAGCGGCTGCCCATCAAAATGAGGGTGACGGCACGGATGAGCCCAGACACATTCAGCGCCATCCTCAAGTCCAGTGGGAAGGTGAAGAAAGCCAGGAGAGGCAAAAAGAAGGTGAGCTGCGACCAATGGTTCCGTTGACCCTCAACCAGTCAGTGTTGGGGAACATCTGACCCACAAGCCAGATGCGACCCACAACTTAATTTCACACGGCCCACAGTCACGTGAGGCCGACCACTTTGAAAGAGCCTGCAAGTGATGTTTCTCTGTCGCTGCAAGCATCTTAGTCGGGTACTCGAGAAGGAATATTTTTAACCTGGCAACAACACTCTGATTAGAATTGTCGTACTCTCAGTCACTCTGTCACTGCAAGGGCCTCTTTATACTCGGTCGGCGCTGGCGTTATTTTTGGCATTATTGGACAACGCTAATCTGTGGCAGTTGGCGACTAAAGGTATTTGTAAGTCCTATTTAGCCCTCAGTATGGAAAGGTTCCTCACCCCTGACTTAAACCCTGACCCCTTTTAAGCTTTGTATATATGCATACAGCACACCACAAAGCCCAAGCACATTAAGTTGTGGGTCATGATTTAAGTGTGATTAAAAGTCTCACGTCAATAAACGTGAATTAACTTTCGTCATTAACTTCACTTACACTGTCTTTTTAGAAAAAGAAGTGAACGCCGTTTCTACCGTCGCAGAAACCTGCACAGGAAGCGCTGCTACACATGTTTGTGGTGGTCACGCTCGTAGTAGGTTTGACCGGTCGGTGTCCCTTTTTAGAGTTGTACATTTCTATTTTTATACACGTGTACGAGCATTGCAGTCTGAAAATGTGAATCCAAGCACCTTTACCAGTCCCTAAATTCTTCATGTACCTACACGGCCTCTGTCGAGGAGCCAACAACATGCGGTGTCTCAATGGTGTCAAACAGTGCGCCACCCGAATTACGCCACGGAATGCTGGCAATAAGATAACTCCGACTGTCCGTAGCCGTGTGACTGCGTAACTCAAGACTGTCTTTAAAAATACTACCAGCTCTCGATGTGCCTTCCAAGTAACACCAATGCTTATTGGCGTCACGCACTGCAATCTGCGGTTGTTGTGAGCGGGACACGCGCAGTAATCCCGAGTGTATGTCTCAGGCTGTACCACAATTACGGTGATGTTTACATGTTTTTTGTAGTTTTCATGGGAAATAAAAATGGGGTTATTTTTTTAATAATCGCCGGTTAAGAGTGTACAGAACGCAGTGTAGCTTGTGGACTTTGATAAAAAGCAATAAAATGTCGTTGAAATGAAAGGTGAAGGATTTACACAGCACAAAGTTCAGGTTGTCTTATAGCGTAGTGAATATAATTGGTTTTGCATATTTACAAACGTATGATCGCACATATCAACACAATGCATTGATGGTGAATCGCAATTGTGTACTGTAGGGATGTGTTTCATATTTATCTGAAAAATCTGAATGTCAGCCTGCAAGCCAAGTTTGAGCACCCTGGTGTCTCACCAGGGCTGAAAATAGAAATGAATTGCTGGCGAATCATTGCCCCTCTCTGCACCTGAACCCGACCCCCTCTGTGCATCCCCAACTGAGCCTGATCGAAAGGGATGTGGTGGGCGAATGTGAATAATACGTATAAGAGATATCTTGTACAGTGGTACCCCAGAGATCGAACTTAATTCGTTCCAGAAGTCCATTAGAACACCAATTTGTTCGAACACAAAATTAATGTAAATTACATTAATTGGTTCCAGACACAAGACGTCTCTAATTATAAAGCATTTAAACACGAAGTTTACAGTAATTACACGCATGAAATCATACAAAAAAACAAGAAACACAATAAATACATGGAATAAATGCAATAAATGAACATTGAACTTCACTTTACCTGCAGTAAGGAGAGTTGATGGCTTGAGTGGAAGGTGGTGAGGAGGAGGAGGAGGTGGTAAAACCTTTGTCTGGGCAAGCGTCATGCACGCTGGCCATACGCGGCTCAGCCGTACAGCTCCTTTCAAGTCGCGATTCGCCGTTCGACCTCCGAATTTCGTTCGGTTTCCGGGGCAAAAAAAATATTCGGCAATATCGTTCGAACACCGATTTGTTCGAGTTTTGGTGCGTTCGATCTCCGAGGTTCTACTGTAGATGGATTTGTATACATCGACTATCCTCCACGACACGCGTCGCTGGTTCCGTCTGGTACGACGCTGCCGGGTTCAACATTTCATTCGCCACAGCGTCCCGGCTCATTTCGGCCCATTTCCGCCCAGGGGTGGTTATGTTGGTAAACTGCAATGTTCGCCAAGGAAACTCAGCCACCTCAAAGGGACTGAAGACGGGGAGAGTTTCCTTGAGCAAGAAGCAGTGCTGGCTTCATTGTTTGTGGAGCAGTGGCATCGTTAAACGGCATACTGCGCTGTAAACCAAGTGACCTGAATTCGATTCCCGTTCAGGCATGACATCAGTGAGTAGTTATAGGTGTTAGGGGTCGTCCATAAATGACGTCACGCACCTAGGGGGGGGGTCAGACATTTGTGACGATGTGTGACGAGGGAGGGGGGGGGTTTTAGAAATGTGACGTCACATCAAAATGCGCAACTTTAAATAAATATGGACAACACGTTCTACTTAGTTAAATAGACTTGTTAATAAATGTTTTCTCCTACAACATCAGAGTGCAGCGCCACATTAAATACGCACTACAATGACAACAGTTTAAAGCGATTTGAAGCATGGTTTTTTTTTGGGGGGGGGGGGCAGAGCTTTTTGACGTCATATTTGAGGGGGGGGTCTGACTTTTTGTGACGCCGTGTGACTAGGGGGGGGGGGTCAAAAATCGTCCAAAATCGCGTGACGTCATTTATGGACGGCCCCTTACCGGTCTCGTCTGCCCCCCCCCTTCCCTCCCGGTGCGGTGAAGTATGGTCGAACAACCCTCGTGATGAGACAGCCGGTGGGGGGGGTGGATGGGAGACCTTCATCCACCATTGGACTGACCACGGACTGCGTTTAATTTATATTTCACTTTGATTTGATAGCGATGGGCAGGGGGGAGGCATGAATGAGTGGGGTTTTAAGAGAGATTTCAGATCTCGGTGGAGACCCTGCTAAGCCCTGCGGCAGAGAGAGAGTGAGTTGTGTGGACGTGCCTGCTTGTGGAGCCGTGTGAGCGCGCTGGGAACGCGTGCTGTTTGGACGCACCTGGGCAGAGACTGCGAAAAGTTTCACATCACAGAGTAGTACAGCATTGCCACTATTAATACATTTTTAAAATACCAGTTTTTCCAGTGCTGTAGCAATTAATCACACAATACAGTATATTTTATTTAGACTTAAATGTTTCGTGACTGTAGGAATTCATATTCTTGGTTCTTTCGGTAAAGTCACCTAGGTAGAAAACAAATTAAAAGTAAAAACCCCACGACGTTTCGATGGTAACACAAGCAGTCTTCTTCAGGTGGAAGCCCGCTTGTGTTGCGATCGAAACGTCGTGGGGTTTTTGGTTTTTAATTTAGATTTTGTTTTCTATCTACGTGACTTTACCGAAAAAAACAAGGACAGTATATATTTTTTATTATTTCGCTGCTATAAATATCCGCATGATAAGCCACTTCGTTGAACTATCATTTGTGGCCAGATTGCTTCTGAAAAATAAACTAATAGCTCAGTGGGCTTTACTTGGTAAGATAACAAAAATAGATATTTATATTTGTATATTTCAGTGATTTGTTCACCTTTCCTATACAGTGCACTCCGATCGGTGTTTTTGTATCGTTATGACGTTCTTCTGACCCCGTGCCCCTACTGGGCAGCTGTGAAAAAAAGAGATTCGTAGCTCATCGGATTTCTCCTGCAGTACAAATAAAGACTCTGATTAATAAAAATTCTGATTAATAGAGACTCTGATTCCATAATACGAGTATTTTTTTGGGGGGCGTTAGATCGCGCATGAAATGTGTCGTTGAACCCGCCACCACCCGACACAGCCAGCCTGCAGCAGGGGGGCGGGGCTGGGGTTGTGATGCCCCGCCCCTGCGGGGGAAGAGAGAGGGGGGGGAAGAGAGAGTGGGGGGGGGAAGAGAGAGGGGGGGGAAGAGAGAGGGGGGGGAAGAGAGAGGGGGGGGGGAAGAGAGAGGGGGGGGGAAGAGAGAGGGGGGGGGGGGAGAGAGAGGGGGGGGAAGAGAGAGGGGGGGGGAAGAGAGAGGGGGGGGGAAGAGAGAGGGGGGGGGGAAGAGAGAGGGGGGGGGAAGAGAGAGGGGGGGAAGAGAGAGGGGGGGGGGAAGAGAGAGGGGGGGGGGGGAAGTGAGAGGGGGGGGGGAAGAGAGAGGGGGGGGGAAGAGAGAGGGGGGGGGAAGAGAGAGGGGGGGGAAGAGAGGAGGGGGGAAGAGAGAGGGGGGGGGGAAGAGAGAGGGGGGGGGGAAGAGAGAGGGGGGGGAAGAGAGAGGGGGGGGGGAAGAGAGAGGGGGGGGGAAGAGAGAGGGGGGGAAGTGAGAGGGGGGGGGGAAGAGAGAGGGGGGGGGAAGAGAGAGGGGGGGGGAAGAGAGAGGGGGGGGGAAGAGAGAGGGGGGGGGAAGAGAGAGGGGGGGAAGAGAGAGGGGGGGGGGAAGAGAGAGGGGGGGGAAGTGAGAGGGGGGGGGGAAGAGAGAGGGGGGGGGAAGAGAGAGGGGGGGAAGAGAGAGGGGGGGGGAAGAGAGAGGGGGGGGGGAAGAGAGAGGGGGGGGAAGAGAGGAGGGGGGAAGAGAGAGGGGGGGGGAAGAGAGAGGGGGGGGAAGAGAGAGGGGGGGGGGAAGAGAGAGGGGGGGGGAAGAGAGAGGGGGGGAAGAGAGAGGGGGGGATGAGAGGGAGGGGGATGAGAGGGGGGGGAGAAACATGGGGGGGAGGGGAGAACCGAGGGGGGGGATGAGAGAGAGGAGGGGGGGGGGGCTTAGCGCATGCGCAGTGCGAGGCAGCACGTGAC